AAGTAATCAAATCAGACTAGTATTCAAGCGATCTTGATATTTTAAGCATTAATTACCGAAAGGAGATGTGGAAAATTCAGGTAACAATCCTTGAGAGGTTTGCTACTAACATAAACAGAATCCTCAAGTGCTTATCCCGTCGAATTCCTGTCAACGAATCTAAAGAAAATTGTATAATAAATTCATCGAGTGATGAAAAATACTAAACGAAATGCGAAAAAGATCGCAAGCGAAATGAGCAAAAAGTTCGATAGTTTGTTGCAAAGACTATTTGATGAGCGCTTAATGCATTCGACAATGAAAGGACGTTCGTTTATTACAAGCGAACATGTACTGTTGTCACATAGAGCAACCATACTTTGCCTTTCAAGGAAAGAAAATGGGAGAATATGGATGGAGGAGACTTATACGTCCATATTGGCTTGGGACTCCATATATAATTCCATCATCTTACAGAACTCATTAGAATTCCGCAAAGTTTATATTAAGAGAATTCCATGAAAATCACGTTTCCTATGAAAATTGCAGCATGGAGCTAGAGATTTTGGGAAGCTTTTTTGGGAAGCTATTATCAACACTTTCTACATATTATAATAATGTAATTTTGGATATCTGCATAGCCATGAAATTGTTTAGATAAAAAGTAATATTGATGGGCTTGCTTCAATAGACGCTGTAAGAGGTAAGTTAGTTGAGTTTCTTAAGCAGATCAAAATCTCTTCATAGATGTACATATATATACATATGTATAATGGAAATTTTGAACATTTTCTTAGTTATTCAAGAGATTAAAAACTTATGTGAGGTCCGCTAGTCAAAAACGCTTGGACCAAACAGAAAATAACAATTTTCCTTACGGTTAGTTCCCATCTAATCGGGTTTAAATGACGACTTGATGGATCTAAGTAAAAATGAAAATTTCATACACATACGCATGCATGCCGAAGCGAAGTTCTTTTAACTTTTTTTTTTTTTTTGCATATGATCAGCCAATCAATCGATGTCTTCTATATGCCGATGAACGGCCACTTTGATGATGTTTTATAGGAAGAAATGATGAATAGCATTTATTAACTTTCCTCGGGAAGGGTAGGAAAGACTCGTATGACAGGTAGTATGTTCCGAGGTCGGGCAAGGCGATTAACGGAAGGAAGGAACTCATTTAAGTGGTTGGGTAAAGTCATTCATTACTATTTGTAATGAATGACTTTGAAGCTTGAAAGGGCTAAATATCACGCGATATCGAATCAATCATTTTCACCATGACATTGTAATAGCGGTAGTAACGAAAGAAGTCGACCGGTCCTTGACCGGTATTGTACGGAAGGAAAAGGAAATGAAAATTTGAGTCGGACAATACCATACTGATAAGCTTCCGTCATTTCAAGTGTGATAAAATGAGTGGTGTGTGCGAGATTCGACTACAGTTAAATGAATTAATTTAATTTTCACTATAAATTATATATAAATGGTGGAGGTTTTGTGTGTACAATTGTTTTGTTTTCTTTCTTCCTTTTTTTTCTTTTCATATTCTCTAAGCTTCTTGGTTTTCAAACCTTTTTTGCTTTTTCTTAGTGTGTCTTTCTGCTTGCGTTTATTTATTTTTTTCTGTAAATAAAAACAAAACCTTTAAGAATCGAGTAATTCTCATAATAAAATCGCCCCCGTGTAGAATTTCAATTAGTTGTGACATTACATTACACACTGTTACCGCTTTTATCCACTGCTCATACACAACGAATATCTAAAGAACAACGGACCGACTGTCAAAGAGACAGACGAACATGTGCATTAGGTTATATTTGTATATAAAATACTTTACCATTTAAAAAGAAACGCAACAATGCACCGCAAAGGAAAAATAAAAAAACAAAAAAAAACAAAAAAAGCAAAAATAAAACAAAGCAAAACAGCAACAACAACGACGAACAAAATATCAACATCAACGGTAACAGTAACAGCAACAGCAAAGAGCAACAGCAACTGCAATAGCAATAGCAATACGGCAACGGCGACATTTAAGTATAAAACAATTTTGTGCGTTAACTTGGTATTTATTGCCCTGAGATACGTTGGAATGCATTCAAGAATCACTAACGTCGTGTACCATCCAACCCACGGGAAAGGTATTTAAAAGCATTTTCTTTTTTTTTCCTTCCTCCTTTCTTCTTATTAATTATTTTTTAAAAATTTTTATTAAACTTATAACTGTGCAGTTTGTTTTATGATTTGATTTATATCATTATTAAAAAAAAAAAAATTTGTATCCGGTTAATGAGAAAGTTTTGAGCGCTCCCAAAATCGATCAATTTAATTTATACTCAATTTGACATTAAGATTATCAGATTGTCTCTCTCTCTCTCTCTCTCTCTCTCTCTCTCTCTCTCTCTCTCTCTCTGTCTCGCTCTCTCTCTCTTTGTCTCGCTCTTTCTGTCTCGCTCTTTCTTTCTTTCTTTCTTTCTATTTCTATTCTATTTCTTTCTTATAAGGCTTGATACTTTTTCGATCTGCTGAAAATGACAACATTTTTAGCCTTTCCTAACCCTAACATTCCTAATATTCATATAATTTCTTATCTGAGATTAAGATAATATCTCTCTCTTTGTCGTTCTCGTTCTCTGGGTCTATCTTATAAGGCTTAATACTTTCTCGACTATGTAATATTTGACGTATATACGCTTACTGTATTGGGTGCAATCATATAAATCCATAGAGGCACACATGTGCATTTCATTAGGCACGCTCCCATGTTTTCATATCTATATATATATATATATATATATTGTATATTGTATATTGTATATTTACATGGAAGTTGTTCATCTCAATATGAGTATACATATGTAAAATACATTTTATTAACTACAAGTGTCCAGCAGATGGCATTTGTTTCCCAATTCAGTCTGCATTTACATAACACACGAACTCATCGAATATGCTGTTATTATTAACTCTTTGCGCCAGACTCTCTACATACATAATATCATGCTATACGGCAAAGATACGTAACCCATGCATATAGAGAAACTATTTTTAATTTAAATATCTATACATATATACAAACAAACAAATATATGCAAATAGTATATATGTATCTCGTGCGACACACACGGTAGCAAACCATTAACTTTAACTTAACAATTTTTCACAGATTTTTATAAATAAAACGCATAAACATTTCTTGTATGCCGTGTCTGTGTTTTCATTTCTCTTAAAGCGGAGGAAATTGTAATTTTTTTTTTCGTTTTTTTTTTTTTGTTTTTTTATTTTTTTTCATTATTTTTTTTCATTATTTTTCTTTTTTTTTTGTATATCTACTTGCTTTTTGTTCTGAACATTTCATTCAGAAATATCATATTAAACAGAAGGTAGAAACATGCACACACTCGCCTTTATTATACACATATATATATATATGCATATATATGTTCAAATGTATGTGTGGCAGTGATTTGAATAAGAATTTTATGATTTTCACTTTTAAGGATTCATTTCATTGTACTGTAATGAAAAGAGAAGACATAGCTTTCATTACCTACTGAAATATAATATTTTTATTAACGATTCTAAAATTACAATTTTTTTTTTTTTTTTTACTTTTTTCAAATCTTAAAGGACGTGGGAGTGAAAAAAGTTTTTTTACGGTTTTCATAGTTAATGAAATAAAAATTTTGAAGGCAGCCATACCTTAATAAAAAATAAACTGCGCTATACGGAACCGTTTTGTACAAGTACAATTAGCCTATCTTAGACCATAGATCGCGATAATTCATTTTAATTCTCTCTCAGGTATTTACTATATTCCCTATTGGGTTCGTTTTTAAGATAAAATTTCTCGCTTTAGATTTTATTATATCGTACGAGGCAGTACAGACGGCTGGGATCTCATTTTGGTCACGATTAATTTCGCGAAAGTATTTGCATGAAAAACCCTTTCTTCTTCACCAACTGCTCGGTGGGTTTTATAGAAGATAGTAGAAAAGATAGAAGACATAAGTTTTTCATCTTGCAAATTTTTTTCACACGATTTTTCCACACTTTTACACGTTTAAGTTGTAAGCAAACTTGGAAAAAGTTTTAAGGGTTTGGACACTCTCTCTCAGAATTGTCACAATACGATGGCGAATGTCTGATTGTTTTCCACAAATCACACGATAGCATTTCAGAGTTGAAATTACATCTTCTTCTTCTTCTTCGTTGCTTTCGTTTAAACACTTAAGACTAATTGCCATAAACTCATATGGCTATGGCGTGGTCTAGAGGTTAGGGCGACCGGTACTCAACCGGGAGACCCAGGTTCTCCGAGTCTTGGTGCAATAGACCGTAAATTGATTGGGCTTTACCTACGTAAGTAACGATCAATTGCGTCATCCACCAAATGCATGAATATTTTCCATTAATATGAATGGCTGGATTCGATTGTCAATTGCTTACGTTGCTTGCTTATGGGTTCGAAACGTTCTCCGAAATTATTCTTTTTTAATCATTTAAATTTATTAGCTAGCAATGCCGTAGGCCAGTATACATAGTTACATTAGTATAAGTCAGACGCATGGAAAGAACTAGAGACTATTCATATGATCACTTTGCTCTATCACTAACCTTTGCGATGGTCACGTGTTCAGGTGCTCGAAAATAAGGCCAATGTTCTCTTGAAAGCATTTAAGGATCGTACACGGACAATAAACGAACGAATTTAAGATCAAATTTTCACCTATCGTTCGTGGCAAGTCCAAATCGAAAACCAATAAAAGCGATCTCCAAGTCCATCGGCAACTGTCAAAGAGTATTCATTTTACTAAATTCTAGCTTCAAAATGAAAGCGCTTCTAGTTACAAGTTAGAAGACACCATAGAAAAAATGAATGATTTATTGGACCTGCGATAGGATTTTTCCGAAGCCTTAAACGCTTTAAGACGTTCGTCGTTTGCTTTCTTTGTTGCTTCGATTGCGTAATAAATTCTTCTTTTTTTTTTCTCTCTCTCTCTCTTATATTTCAGATAACTTTGGCTATCATCGACAGGGATTTTGTCAAGCGGGCTTTAGTGCTGTTTGTAGTAGTGTAAGTATTGGAGAAAAAACAAAAAAAATTACGAAAATCAAATATTTTAGCAGAACTTGAACAAAGTTTATGCAAACATAACACGTTCGGGTTCTACTTCAGGAAAGTTGAAAAATCCAATTCTTCTTATTTTTTTTTTTTTTTTTGGTTTTCGAAAGATATTTTCTTTCTATTTAAATGAAATGAAAATAAAGACAAAAAAAAAAAAAAAAAAAAAAAAAAGTAAGCGAAAAAAAGTTAAAGACGGCAATGTGCTAAGCATGTATAATTCTTTGAGTCTGTTTTTTTTATTTTTTTTTTTTTTTGTGCTTTTCTGCGCACATTAACACTTACAGAAAATGGCCACAAAATTCTATTTCAAAAATCCATTGTATTCAAAACATGAAACGATTGAACGATTTCAAGTGTTAAAAGACAACGAACAAGAACAGAAGACGAAGAGAAAATTTAAAACAATTCGCGTTCCGCGGCACAAATGTGTGATTTTTTTATTTATTTGTTGCTGATATGTTTTTTGTTGCTTTCCTTTTGTCTACGTAGAGAGGCGATCGTTTATACATTGGTGCACCGGGCAGCTGGTATTGGCAAGGTAAGAGGACTTTAACACTTTTTTTTTTTTGTTTATTTTTATTTTTGTTTTTGTTTTTATTTTTTAAACATATGCTAAATATATTGAATTTTGAATTTTTGTGTATTTTGTTTTTTTTTTTTTTTTATTATTATTTCTTTGGTTTGTTTGTTTATTACATAATTTATGTTATTTTCTCTCCCTCTCTCAGCATTTGTAAACGTATTATATAAATATTTTGTTGGTATTCAAATGAAATCCTTAAGTTATATATGTCATGGTAGATCTTACAATGGTTAATTTTAAGCATTATTTCAAATATTTCGCATCATTTCGTTACTCGTTTCTCAAAGTAAATAGCCGCCAAAGGATTAAACAATTCATATTATAAAGCAAAAAAAAAAAAAACAAAAACAAAAGAAGCTGATTATATAGAAAATTGACTTTTAATTATAAATCGAATACATAGCCATCTCTCAAAGTTTTTCTATTAAAAAAAAAAAAAAACAGAAAAAAAAAAACCAAAAAAAATAGACACCAACACAGTTAATGTTAAATGAATAAAAGGATTTGGAAATGAATTTCGATAAAAATGCATGTCCTCTCTCTTTCTAAATTTTTATATGTTCTTCTCTATGTACGTGTGTATATGTGTGTGATTGGCTGTGTATCTCTTCGTATAGTATAGTAAATGTAGTGATTTGAAAGTGCATGTAAGGCAAAACAAAAAAAAAAAAAAAAAAAAAAAAAAAAAAAAACTGTGTAATAATCAATAATTTATGGATCTACTAATAAAATTGAAGGCCAATTACAATATTGAAAGAAAGTATTTGAGATGAATCGAATATATCTACCACGTCATTTAAATATATTAAAATTACATGCCAAGCTTGTTCACACAGGGGGGGGACGCTCGCAGCCCCCCCCCCCCCCTCCGCCCACTCACAACACTGCTCCCAACATTTATACTATACAAGACAAATCGTCGGCGTATCCTTTCAATGCTTATTTTATTGCAGATATATCAAGGTTACATTTCGCACCGATATGTCTATCCGATATCGGACGTTAGCGATCATACAACTCTCTTCTTTTATATAAAACTTTAAAATGATTTACATAATACACATTTAAACATTCATAATCATGTATAATAGTATGTATGTATAAGTATGTATATATATATATATATATATTAAGTTTTATTATTCTAGGTTGCTGGCAATTCCATAAAACAGCTCTTATGCCCGTCCAAGATGCTTGTTTTGCTATCTTTACCGCGATTTTCTTCGCTCCCTTCCTCGGTTCTTTTTTCGGTCTCGCATCATGTGACCCAAATATGATGTCGTTGGTAGCTCGCGATCTTGATCAATTGCTTAAAGTACTTGTACTTGTGCTGTTGTTACTCCTTTGGCTTAAAGGGCTTCTAGTAGTCTAGTCGACGTATTTACATAAGCACCTGTAGGTCAAGCACAAATACTTGCAAAATAGACTAGCATCAGACGGATCGTAAGGTGTATGATCGTAGATCAGCATATGACACTGAAATGGTTATTATAATAAAAGGTCTATCTCAAGACTATCTTAAGTTGCTCTGGATATTGCATATGTCCGCATACACTTCGTATACCTCTTTAGACCACCTTACTGTGTAGGGTGTAATAAAGCTGCATAGAAAGAAAAAGAGATGGTAAAAGCGTACAGATAAACAAGCGAAAAGCATGAGGTGCACGAACGTTTGGAAGATCAGCGATATGTATATATCATATATCACTCAATACGATCATAAGATAACGAAAACATATCGTGGCCAGATAGAGCCTATTTTCAAACAAAATATATGATAATGTCATGACATTACGACCATTAGTTTACAAAATACGATTGGCTTAGTTTAGCTACTTTTATTGCTTTTGGGAAATAATAAAAAAAAATCTGCATTTTTTGCATCATATCGCGTAAGATGGTTAGAACTCTATACTAAAGATATATTTGATTGATAGCAAACAATGCGATACGAAGCAGTTAGATGCAAAACATTAAATTCAATGGAATTAAATGTAATGCTCGGGAGATCTCTCTCTCACTCTCTCTCTCTCTCTTAAATGAAAACTTACATAATGCATTTGTATTTATATACATCATTAATCATAAATACACTGCTTAGATGTCAAAGGCAGCAGTATCATGATATCATAGTAGATTTGAAGTACATCCGAAGAGCAAATGAAAAATTCGCCTCATTTCACACCAAACTATTACATATCAATGCATTTTCTTTTCACTTAAACAAATTCGTCCGCAATTTAGATACAATTTATGTTTGGCCGAAATTTCCGCATATTTTCCTAAAAAGTAATGCATAACAAATAGCATTAAGTAATATTTGCATATTTGTTATGCATACATATATAATTTATGATTATGATATAAGTAAATTTTCCACGCTTATAAAGCATTATATTTTACTGGGAAAAAATGACCATATTATTTATTGATCAATTAAAGCAACAACGAAATCAAAAATGTATAGGCCATGAATTGGATGAGAAAAGTTTTTAATCACATTAGCTTGAGTTTTCCATATGCAATATCTATGGATTTGATTCGATGTATATAACATTGCGATGAACGTAAACGAATAAAATTAAGTTAAATGTATTTATCTTTCTGTCCTTTTCTATAGTTTCAGATACTCCATTACTTTGTTTTTGTCTCTTGTTGTTGTCACATACAGTTAGTTTGGTAACTTTTCCAAGTTTTTTCGAATTCGATGATTTTCTTTTATCATTCATAAAGAAAATAAACAATCGCTTCATAGCTAATCATTGGTATGCCACTTAACCTAATTGGGATTATTTGCGCACTGTATAATTGTGCTTAACATTTAGTTAAATTTCAGACAAGTACGAACTGACTAGCAAAGTAGTAGGAGAAATTTTCGGACAAGAAGTGAGCACAGAGAAAAAAAATAGAGAGTTAGACGTAAACTAGCGGTAGTGTGTCCGATTGTCAAGTTTTACGCTTTTGCCGACTCTAAGCACTCGCTATTGCTATGGACGAACTAAACTTTAACCAACATTAAGACTTGAGCTCAGTGACTTAATAGTCGCGATTCTTACCTATTTGGCTAGTCTTGTGATTATGTAATTCTTGGCACGTTTCCTACCAAGATGCCGTTTTTATGTCGCGTGTATCCTTTTCGATACACGAAGCTCTCGCTATTGCTATGGACAAACTAAACTTTAACCAACATTGAGACTTGAGCTCAGGGACTTAATAGTCGCGATTCTTACCTATTTGGCTAGTGTTGTGATTATGTAATTCTTGGCACGTTTCCTACCAAGATGCCGTTTTTATGGCGCGTGTATCCTTTTCGGTACACGAAATGCAAATTTAGTAACTACGAATAAATATTTTTTTTTTATTTTATTATAAATATTCAAGCAAAAAAATGTATTTGTCATCTATTTACTAAATATTAAAAGAATGAAGCGAAGAAAAGCTAAGTAACGACAGATATATTCAATGACAATTTATCGTCGCGTACAGCACTATCAGTGCGCGTATTTTTAAAATGTAATGTTCCTCATTTAAAAAGTTGACGTTTGGGCATAAATGCTTGCTAAAGTGTACTGAAAACGGTACATATGAAGGAGCGCAATGGATGGATAAATTAAAGCTGCCACAAAACTTCCTCTAGTGTATGTTGCTATCGCAAGATGCATAAATCTTTTTGCTACGTATAGAGTAACCTGCATTATGTCATGTATTATGTGACATTTGTATGTATGTATGTACGTATATATATATATAAATATATATATATTTAAATATACATATATTTATATATATATGTATACATATATTTAAATATATATATATTTATATATATGTATGTATATATGTATGTAAGTAAGTATTTATGTATTTTTATTTATTTATTTATTTTTTTTTTTGTTTTACTGATTATATCAATTAAGAGGGAATTTTATTTAAAAAATTTTCTTATGAATCGATAAATTGCCCTGAACGAAAATAATTAATTTAATATATGTTGTTGTATTGTTTTGTTGTTGTTGGTTAATAATGCGCACATAACAACCCCACAAAATAAAAACGATTTAAAATAAAAGGACAAGTATACTCGATCTCACCAGATGCCACTTTCCCGTATAAGCCGCCGTTCTATCAACCTTTCGGTACCGGAGGTAAAGAAAAAGTGTTAGAAATGAAAAAAATCATGAAATCAATTTTTTTCGCTAAAATTTGAACAAGTAAGAAAATAATATTCGTTTCTTTTTAACGAATCATTTCAATACCCACCATCTAAAGTAAAGTTGCTTAGGAAAGTCGCTTAGTATGCTGATCGGGTTTTCCGCAAATAAGATGAAATCACGGCTTACAAAGACAATCTCAGATTGATGCTTACTTATATGCATTATCCGGTTTTTTTTTTTTTAGGAAATTTTTTTTGTATCTTCAACTGAAATGAGCTTTTGATCGAATTGTCCTTAATTCTTTCAATTCGATAAGCAAAGGCAATTAATTAAATGCATATGAATTACTTCCGCTTCCGCTTCCGCTTTAGATCGCAACTTTTTTATGATTTTAAGACAAGAAGAGAACAAAGATTTATGATTAACAAGACGATTGATTATAACGCTTATAACTTGTTCATATCTACTACTTACTGAGCTTTACTTACTGCACTGAACTGAACTGATAAAGTGTATACTTTCTGCGTTGGTGGTGGGTATACAATAAAAAGCATCTTTAAACGCAAACATTGTAAATTTTACGTATTGACTGGCACCTCAGGTCAACTCTTTTACTATATATATATTTTTTTTTTTTTTTTTTTGTTTCTATTTTAACTTCTATCAAAGCCTTCAAGCTTTATGTAATTTTTCTTTGATTGTGTAATATATTTATGTATGTATGTGCAAAGTCTTCAATGCGATTTCATAGGTTATGCTTTTTAATGTGCACATATATTATAATATAATAATATCGCTTATAAACAAATTATTCATGAATCCGATTGCATACTGATCGGGACGATTGTATAGTAAATGCGACATAAAAAAAAAAAATAATAATAATAATAATAATAGTAATAATAAATAAAAAATAAAATAAAAAAAAAATTAAATAAATAAATAAAAAATTAAAAATAAAAATTGAAAAAAAAAAAAACGAAAATCATTGAAATCTAATCGCCACTGCATTCGCCACACATTCGCAGCAGCAGCAGCAACAGCATTTCATCAATATCAGCTTAACTTTAACTTATCCTCATCTCCATTCACTTATGTGCCGTATATACTCGTGTGGATATGGATTTATTTACATAAAAAAAAAACAATTTACATAATATCTACATTTAAGTTCGCTTATTGCTCTTATTGGTCTAAACCCTTAGCATTGGAAGGTCGATATAAAATAAAAATGCATAGGATTCCAATATATGAATATAAATAACGGATTAAAAGGGTTGTCATTTTTAAAACGACTCTAAATCATGGTACTAGTGTAACTTAAGCAACTTAACTGCATAAGTCATACATATGTTAATGTCACTTATCCCGCATACATTTCAAAAGAAGAATGAAAGCCCTGTGACGCCGGTTTGTTCTCTTTCGAGTGGGTGTTGTTTCATTTAATATACATTCATCAGATTAGTTTACTATTCTAATAATCAGCGAATGAATTATTTTTTATATACATATCCATATATATATAATATTTGATAGTACTTAAGCATAACATGCATGTAATCTGAGGGTGTTTGTGTTACCTTAGCAAAATCATTTGCTTACATCATCATTCACTTATATACAATATTTTATATGCTTTATAACTTCTTTTTCATATTTATTGCAAAAAAAAAAAAAAAAAAAAAGAAAAGAAAACAACAAATAAAAACAACAAAAAACATAAAAAAATGCTATTATTTATTTAACTTTTCTTTTTGTTTTTGTAAATTTAAATCAGGTCAAACGTATTCGTACGATGTAACCCGTCCGGAAAATCAAGTATTTTCAACTTTGGAAAGTACGCCCAAGGATGACGATTCGTATTTGGGTTATTCGATGACAGTCGGTGACTTTAATGGTGATCGCATCGATGATGTAGCGATCGGTATGCCTCGGGGAGCTGGTCTTTTAGGCAAAATTGTAGTTAATGGCTGGAATATGGTGAACATATTTAATATAACCGGCCGTCAAATTGGTGAATACTTTGGGTATTCATTGGCTACGTCAGATGTCGATGGTGACGGCTTAGATGATTTAATTATCGGTGCTCCCATGTACAGTGAGCCTGGTAATGCCGAGGGTAAATATGACGTGGGTCGCGTGTACATTCTTTTACAAACCAGTACAGATGAGGTAAGTCTGTAAAATTTTCAACTTTCTAAGAAGAAGGCTTCGATAAATTTTGTTTAGGCAAACCGTTGGACTGTCGAACATATTCGTGACGGTTTTAATACTAAAGGTCGGTTCGGTTTAGCCTTGGCTTCGCTGGGTGATGTTAATCGTGATGGTTTCGGTGATTTCGCTGTGGGTGCACCGTACGATGGTCCTGAAGGTCGTGGTGTCGTGTATATATTTCATGGATCTCCTAGCGGTCCATTGCAGAAGCCCTCTCAAATTATAAAATCAGAAGATATTGTTGAGGGAGCTCCGTTCCCTCGAACATTTGGTTTTGCACTTTCCGGCGGCATAGATATGGATGGTAACACTTATCCTGATCTAGCTGTCGGTGCTTATGCTTCTGATCAAGTATACATATTTAAATCGCGTCCAGTTGCGGCGGTGAATGCCATGACTTCGTTCCTTAGCCCGTCTAAACTTATTAATCTCGATGAGAAGAGTTGTCAAACCGTTCGCGACAGAAAAAGAGTGGTTTGCACCGATATTATGACATGTTGGAGTTACACTGGAGAATATTTACCACATGTCCTGGAATTTGACGTGTCGTGGGTTTTGGATGCTAAAAAACCTAAAAGTCCGCGCATGTTCTTCCTACTCGATGAAGGCAAAAATATACGCAATCTATCCATAACTTTGGGCTTTGGTAAAACGTTTTGTCGCAACGAAACTGTTTACTTGATTGATAATGTTCAGGATAAGTTAACACCATTGGAAGTAGAAACACGCTATAACCTACGTAACAGTCGCAGTTGGACCAGCGCCACCATTCCAAGGCGCAAGCGTGATGCCTTAGACCCGGTCATTGATCAAAACCGTGATATTGTACAAAGAGACGCTATCAATATACAAAAGAATTGTGGCGCCGATAATATCTGTGAGCCCGATTTAAGACTACAAATAAGGTACATTTTCTTTTCCTAATTTAAGAATAAAGATTTATTTATTTCGTTTGCAGGACTGTGGATAAATATTTGTTGGGCTCAGGGGAACCATTGTCAATTGAGGTTTTGATTTCAAACATGAATGAGGACGCTTTCGAAGCCGCTTTCTACATGCTAATGCCAAAAGATTTGGATTTCAAAAAAATCGAAGCAATCGGCAACAAGACAGATACTCCGATTACTTGTACCGCTCCCTCAGAGTCCAATAATTATACATTGAAATGCGATATTGGTAATCCGTTGCAATCAAAAAAGGTGGCAAATTTCAAAGTGATTATGTTACCCTCGCATAAAGTGGGCATGGCTCCTAGCTATGATTTCTTCATGGAAGCTAATTCGACAAATCTCGAGAAGCCTGGTTCCCATTTCGACAATATCATACGCAAAAGCATTAGTATTTGGGTTGAAACGAATCTCACTATTGATGGCACATCTTTGCCAGATTTTGAGCTTTACAAAGCGTCCGATTACACTACAGTAGAGAATGCTACTAGGGAGGAAGATTTGGGCCCTCAGGTCGTGCATCTGTATAATATTTTCAATAAAGGTCCTTCAACAATTGAAGAAGCTGTAATATTCATATATTACCCGTTTCAAACAACGGCAGGAGATCTTTTAATGTATATGACCAATCAACCAGAAACTGATGGCAACATTGTATGTGATCCCCATGTGAATGTGAATGCTTTGAATTTACAATTGGACCAAAATTTAGTGCGTAAATCTTATTTAGAGCAAAGGGGAGCTGTTCAACGTACACATATCATGTCCGGGAGCAGCAGCAGCAGTTACGGTTATGGCTCCACTTATGCTACAAGTGGCTCAAGTGTCACTATTGAAAAGTCGGACGGCCGAAGCGGTAGTTCTACAGCAGTTACCATAGGAGGAGGCGGAAAAGTGTTAACTGCTGAAGAAGAGACCCGTTTACACAAAGAAGATGAACAAGACGTTTCCGGTGACGCTTCATTTGTACATTCGCAACGGGCTCATGCCGCCGCTGAAGCTAACTCTCGCCATGGGGCGCAAACTGGAGGGAATTGGGCTTGGTCGTCTTCATGGAATTCTTCATCATCCGGTCGCGGACCATCCGTAGTTGTGTCATCTCGAAATAGTTCCGTCTATTACGATGAACATGGTCGACCCCATATGGTCGAGAGCAGTACTGAATATATAACCCATCTCGATCACGTACCTAGAGGTTATCATACTCAACAGCAGCAATCTTCCGCGAATTATCATCACGCTGGAAGTGGCGGCCATGCTCAACAGCAATCTGAACAAATGGGTGCGGGTCATAGCGCTCGCGGTCATATACAAATGGCCGGTGCACCTGGCTCTGTGCAATATCAAAGAACGCATATGCCGGGCAGTGTTTACAGACATCCACCACAACATGCCGGCGAAGGTAGCTTGGGAGCTTATAATACTTTATCCGGCTCTACAAATAATTTGGAGAAAATAGCTGTTGGTGGACAAGGCTTTCAAACAGGTGCTTTAGATTTGGGCACTTTAAACCGTGGAAATGTTGATCAGGAATTGCGTGGCCACAACTATGGCAATCCTGCTGGCAATCATGTATATCATCGTACATATACAAGTGGAAATTCGATGCCAAAAAATGCAAACTATCATCAATCTTCAACAAGTTACGGCAGTAATAGTGGAAAGCCTTATTATGGCTTCGAAAACGACGATTACTATGACGAAATCAATAATGGACAGCAAGAATCCAAGCAATGGTCTCGTAGTTCCTCTTCGTCAACAGCTACACACCGAAGAGTACGACGCGACGATATATCGACTATGGAATCGATGCAAATTGATTTAAATTTACCCTGTCAAGCGGCCAAATGTGAAACATTACGTTGCGTGGCGCGTAATTTAGGTAAAGACGATAATGTATGGATCGCTATACGTACACGTATGGTTGCTAAGACAATGGAAAAACTAGCCGGATCTGTAGCTTTAAATGTTTCTACGATGGCCGTGTCCCACGTCACCCGTTTGCCATATATCGGCGAACCTAAGGACGAAATAATTCGTACACATGAAATATTTTATAAAGCTGTACCGGAACCGACTCCAGTACCTGATGTAGTTCCGCTATGGGTCGTTGTGCTGGCAGCATGTGCTGGTGCCTTAATACTTCTATTATTGATATTCTTGCTCTACAAGGTAATTAAAGTAATTAACTAATTGCGCCAATTAAGAATAACATTATTATAAATATTTATATGTATAGTGTGGCTTTTTCAATCGTAATCGGCCAACTGATCATTCGATGGAGCGTCAACCACTGCGCAATGGCTATCATGGTGACGAGCATCTATAAAAGATAAAGAACTTCCAGATTATATTTTATACTCTTTGTGTTTGTCATCCATTGCCGTCAATTTCGATTTAAGTAAAATGTTACTGTTATTATTATTATTATTATTATGATTATAATTATTATTATGATGATGATGATTATTATTATCATTATTATTATTAAGAGATTCAAATGGATTGTTTATTAGATCTAAAAGGAATATGAAAGTAAAAAGTGTCAAAGTGTTACCGCACGTTCTGACACTAACTGTCATTCTTAATTAATAATGACGGCACCTAGTCACCCAGCTAACGATTTAACATATCGTTGTTTGTTACATTTGCCATAAAACGAACGATTTAATGAATTAATTAAAAGCGTTAAGTATTCTAATTAATGAAAATATATATATCAATATATATATATATATATATATATATATATAAATTTATAGACAATTTATGAATTGAGCAATAGAGAGAAACGAAACATAATCAATATAGAAGTAAATGTCTTAATGTTCAATTGAAAAAGTAAAAACCGAGTGCTAAAAACAAAAGTTTTATAACTAATAATGCATAATCAACACTGCGAGGAAGGGAGCAACAAATTATCAAATTTAAGTTGTTTATCATAGTTTCATACAATTGTTGCTGCTTTCAATTTTTTTTATTTTTTTATTTTTTAATGTATTTTTGTATCTACATCTATATTTATGTATTTGTTTGTGCGTGTGTGTGTGTGTGTGTGTGTGTGTGCGTTTCTTTTTTTTCTATATTTTTGTAATTATTATGCAATGCTTCATATACATATATACATGTATATATATATATACATATACATATATTGCGGTGTGCGGTGTGTTTGAAATATTGAATGAAGTGAATTCGCTTTTTCTTTTTAATGCAAAAATAAATAATTATTGTGCTATAAACTAATGAATATTTATAGATTTATATGTTTGATTAAATTGTTTTATTAATTACAAATAAATGTAAATAAATTAAAGTAATCCCATGAATTAATATTTTTTCATTTAATTAATGTTTTACAGCAAAACAAAAAAAAGAAAAAAACAAAAACAAAACGAATGAAAAGAAATTATAGAAAATTTCAAAAAAAAACAAAACTAATTTAAATTTTAATAGATGTTAGTTTTATTAATTTATTTTTCATTAATGGCTTATTTATTTTAACCGTACTTATTAACATCGATTTGTCAATATTTTTAATTAATATTAAAATATGCTTTTTATAAAAATTATAATAATAATAAAATGATTTTAATGATAATATAAAAAGAAGAAGAAGAAATTCTATTAAGTGTTAAAAACCATCTCTTCATTTGATATAATATCCTATGATGGTAAAGAAAGAAGTGAGGAAAAGAGAAAGAGATAAGCAAGCGGCCACAGATTAGTGGTTGTGTACACGGATTACATGTCGATATTTGATGTCTGCATTGATCGCTTGATCAGACGCATTCCCTAGAACCGCTGGCAATTAATGTAATTGCGTCACAGCTCAGCCTTGCAAGACAATGCTGCAGGAGAGAGGGCCTATTTTAAGTTCTGGTGTACCAGAATGAAAGTTTAGGTATGGTCCAAATATTCCTCTCTGGGCGAGGCGAAGCTTATCAAGCATCTTTAATTATTCAGTGACCTCCCATTTGTGGATAATCACAGCCACTACCAGCAGTTAGGCCTCACACATTGGTTAACATGCTGCGTTCGATATGTGATTGGACACACCAGCTTCCACCGAAATTTCCGCGTGATATGTCATGTGTAAGCGTTCCCTCGAAGGATCTTGGCAAGCATCAATCAATCAATGCTGTCACCTCTATCCGCGCAAACAGGTTACTCGTGACTTTGTGGGTGGACAACCTGTCGACATGGGTTCCATAGTTCCATAGTTCTTAGCATGCTTTAGAATTATTGGCAAGCGCGTGTCATTGTGATCATACACTTTGGATTTTCCACTCCTACCACTCTCCCCCTTCGATTTATTGTACCAGGAGAAGTGATCAACCCATCATATGCCAGGCATTCATCTCACTACATCATTGTTTGCTTTTCGACAACGTGCTGGTTGTGTACTGGACGTCCTTGATTACATTAGTGGAGAGGTCTGCACGCTAGCGACCGCGGACACCCGCGCAGACTCTCTAAGGAAAGGATCCTCGTCGTTCAATATTTTTTCATGATTTTTCATGATATTTATTTTACCATATCTTCTTCTTTGTTTATCTTTTTCTTACTTATAATTTGATTATCGGGAGCACAACCATTAACATGTTTCAATTTGTTTTCAATATTTCTTATATATTCTTTTAAGTTGCCACGGTGAACCTTTTAATAAGTGAATATATGTATTAATATCCCATTTAGAGTTGAAGATTGCGTGAAGATTGTAATGAGGATGTTACAGAAATTAAAAACTCTAACACTTAGCGAAGACTTTTGTTGCAGTGATAGGAGTAAAAGGGAAGGAGAATATACGCTTATTTTATAAAGTGCCAAAATACATGTATAACAAATGAGAGAATATACGCTTATTTTATAAAGTGCCAAAATACATGTATAACAAATGAGAACGAAACTGAAAATTAGCTATAAAATATTATTAATAAATATTATTAACTTTATTGAATGACTACAAAAGAGAAATTCAATAAAAAAAAAAAAATAACAAACCTGATTCAGCTATAATAATAGATTTATAAAAAAAGTCATATAGAAGTCATAGAATATAAGAAGATCTTCCGCTAATAATAGATATAGCATAGTAATACACATTCTTGATATCAAGTGTTAAGACTTAATCAAGACAACAACCTATAATATAATAATAAGAATTATTAAAGCGAAAAGCTAGCATACTTCAAAGAGAAAAAAATATCTCTTTATAACTTGGATATCTGAATTTGAATTTGCCGATGGCTTTGCCAATTAGCATAGAGTATTACGTTCGTTCTGCAAATAGCAGAAAATATTACGTTCGTTCTGCAAATTAGCATAGAGTATTTCTGCAAATAGTAGAAAATATTGCAAAATGTAAAAACAACGTTATGTATATACAAAAATCCAACTTCTATCCAAAGTGCCTCAATGAAACATACCTGCGTTGTGACGTACCTTTACTGAACGTAGTGCAACGGAATGTAGCTCAATGGAACGTACTTCTACAGAACGTAGTTCAACGAAAGGTACCTCGATGGAACGTAAATAAACGTCTATGGAACGTAGGTAAACATCTATGAAACGTAAACAAAATATTAAATTTCAAGGCTAATAGTACAGATGAGAGAGATAGAGAGAGAAAGTACGAGAGAGAAGAAAAGTACTCTCCTTGTTTTTATTTCTTACTCTCTCTCTCTCTCACACTCTCCCTCTGTCATTTCTTTTTATAATTTCAGGTACACACGAGTTGTTGTTGAATCAACAAATTTTACGGAGCTCATACTTTCAGTCTCATTCTCAGTCTCATCAGAGAGTTCCTGTACATTTCTTATGAAAGGTGTTTTTTGTATTTTGTTGTGCTCCTTCTGAGAGTAACATTTTTCTCTTCACATATTTACTATTATGAATTTTTGTTTTTTCTTCTTACACAAATTTTTTTGAGCTTTCGAACGGTAAAGATGTGTAAAGATGTGCGAGTTTGTGCGAAATAATATAAGTAAATATATTTAACACTGATAATACTGAGTATAAAACTGTACACAATAAATATTTTTGTACATATATGTAATTAATGAAGATATATATTTAAAGTTTAACTTACAATCATTTCGTTTTATTAACGGTTTTACCTAAACGTCTTGTTTACTATCTTGCAAATATATTCAAAATAAGGACAAGAAGAATGAAAACAATCAGTTCATAAGGAAAATGAATTTTTATTTCTTCGCGATAAACATGAATGGGTGACGCTACTTATTTTAGAGTAAAATTTATGTATATATATATATATATTATATTATATTTTTTTTGTTTAACTTATGTACAATTAATTATATTTAATTTACGCAATTGATAGCAAATAATAATAAAAAAAGAAAAATATATGAAATAAGTTTTGCTTCTCTGACAGCTAATTAACTAACTACGAAGTTAATGAATTATTTTATTACGTTTGTAACGACGTACACTCTTTTTATATATCGGCAATGATATGCTTTTCTATTTAAAATGAAACGCAACGCATACAAAAAGCAACTCATTACCGGGGCAAGTTATTCATAAGCTATGTGCGAGCAATTAAATGAATTAATTGTCTTTGAAAAAAAGAGAGCATGAAAAGCATGAAAAGAAATTAACAATTTCTACCATCAATAGAAAGTGTTATACATATATACATATGTAAATATACGGTTCACGCTTACACATACGCGTAGAGCAGGCACATCATATCTCATTTAATAACTAAATAAAATGTTAATCTTGCGCGATTATGGTATCTTTAGTTTATAGCCCTCTTTATACGTTTCTGGCCAATTACGATTGCTTGCTTCGTATCTTTGCTTCTACGAGCGGAAATTGTAGATACCATAAACTGACCAGGTTTCTATAAATATGTAACTGATGAGTCTTTTTATACCGTTCACATCACTTGTATTATAGGGTGTATTGAGTTTGTAAGAACGTATATAACACTTAGAAAGATATAAGATAGATCAGATCGTCTTCTTATTATACCGGATGGATTCAGAATCATTTTGTGAATTGATTTAAGCCTGTCTGTCCGTCCAAACTGTGACCATCTATTTTTGTGCTCAACTTACAGGACGCAAATTTTTTTTTGGTGTTTCCATGAGATTTCGTACACGCAAGTGCTTTGATCGAAGGACGAACGCTACTGAAAATGGTCCGAATGGGCACATTTTTTCGACCACTTCCCCATATAACGCCTTATTTGAAAAATATTGCAAATTTCCAAAACTTCTCGAGAAAATTCGCTAAATAATAATACTTTGACATAATAAATCGGGTGGGGCAATTTTTTGAACCACAAAAACAAGCTGAAGATAACATAAAATCACATTCGTTTTAAACTCATTTCTTTAACTTTCTCCATTAGTTTGCATTGAACTGACAAGTGAAGTGTACGGCGAAGCGAGTATGATTAGTACGTTGCACGTCTGATCATTTTTGAATAAACAATTGATAGCTGTTGCATGGTGACGGGGAAGAATTGTGTATTAGCAAGAATAAAAACAAAAAAAAAGAGATAAACAGCATTGTTATGAAATATTTTAAATATCACTCTGCAATGTAGATGACCCCTCCGCATAAGTAGTTGCACTAAACTAGCTAAGTGGAAGAGGGACTTTGAATCGGTTAAAACGATCTTTACTTTGCATTTGCAGTGATGCATGTGCGCATGCATATGCTTATGTGTGCGCACTCTTTTTTTTTTTTTCTTTTTTGCTTCACGGGTTCGAAACAGCATAGGAATCTCCCAACAATACTGTTTATATGCGCCATGCATGCATAGCATGTACACGTTTAAGTATATACCTGAAATCTATTTCCACAAACACACACTTCATATATACCCACTTTTCTCCGCGAGACTACAATCAGGTATTTTTTCGCGGAAACGTGTATGCGTGCGTGTTTTGATTTGGGAAAGAAGTGGGGAAAACATTGCGTGTGTGTGGCCAAACCTAAGCTACTCACTAATAGTTATGATCCCAAAGCGTGGTCTGTACGTCACTATGATCTGGAACCCGCGAACACCGACTTAGTAGTTGCGACTCTTATCGGCTTGGCTATGCGGCAGCCGCACTATTGTCAGCCTAAAAATTTTATTTATTACATGCAGGCAGAACTTTGATCCAATTTGGTACACTAACGTGTTTTGACTCAAGGACAAAGTCTATTGAAGATGAGCCAATTTTTCGACCAATCTCCATATAATACCCTATCTTGAAAAGTCGTCGCCTAGAATAAAATTTGTTATATAGAAAAAATAGTAATTCAGTATTCTGAAGAGGTGTGAAGACTTTCGATTGGCTGGGGCAATTTTTCAGTCGCCTCTCATAAACAAAATTTGAACCATCCATGCCTGTTTTTGGATGCTAGGATAGCACATAAGAACTTTTACGAAAATTTTTGATTTTTTTAAGGCAAAAATGTGTAATATTTTAAAATTAAGGGGGTGGAGTCTTGAACACGTACATAAATGTTTAAGCTTCTTAGGCGCAATCATTCTCACGACAAGTAAGACTTTATTTGATGTACAGTCCCATATTAGTCAGTTCATATAAGGACAAGTAAGAACATTATAATCGGGTAAGGTCGACTATTAAATACCCTACACCGCGTTATGTAAAGCAATTCTTCAATTTTTATTATAGAACGCAAATATTATATCTTGTTTCTATATAAAGGCATATTTTTCATGGGCGTATTTGTGGAGAAGCGGGCCCAAAACGCAACCTAATGTAGTACAAGTTTAATTCTTGCAGGATCAATATTCGTGAAAATCCATATTAGGGTAGCATCCAAAAACTAAGCCGAGACGATCCAAATTTTTTTTGTGTTAATTGTGTTACTGTTATGAACCATTGAAAATTATAACTTTTTTTAATATGAAATTCAGTTTTCATTATATGTGAGGGCGTTCAAAAGCTGACCTGGCCGGTGCAAAGTTCTCACAGTAATTTAGATTTAGCGAAATATTTTGAAAATTGCAATAATTTAGCATATAAAAACTTCTTGTAATTGGGCCTTAGCTAGAATACAAACTTACATGAACAGAGATGTGACGGACAGACAGGCTTAATAGAAGGTTGGTGTATTTTAAGCGCTTCTACTGTTCTTGTTACAATTTTCCGCATAAACATAATATGCCCTGTATCACGAGTGGTGTAGGGTACAAAAAAAAAAAAGAAAGAAAATTCCATTATTTTGCGGTGAATAATAGAGAAACTCAAAGTCAACAATAGAAACCAATTAAGTGCTTTTACTTTAGATGACTAAGTTTGAAGCAAAAGGAAAACGCTAAAGCGAAAGGTTTTTTTTTTGTTTTTGTATTCATTAAGCGCAAACGGGCTCGATTCTATTGGTACGGAGGAAAGACATGACATATTCCTGGTATCATTTGAGAAAATTAGAAAGTAATGGTTGCGTTGTTCGCTATTTGCCCCAGCAATCGGGAAAGCGAAGGGAAAAAGGATTAAGAGACATGCGCACTTTCAAATGCCAAAGTTCAAAAAGTCTAAATTTACTGATGGATTAACTGCTTGAGTTCTCATTTTCGAATGCTGTTGTGCTGTAATGTTAATTGGAAACGTGTCATTTATGTTAAATGGGCATCGTAATGAGCCGTCTCTCATCGCTAAGGGACAACAAACAATAACTTAATTACATGGTTGATGTCCGGGATATTAAAAATGTATAAAGTTTCTAATACGAAGCCATTAATTGTTTTTAAATGTTAATGATTAATGCGTGCAACATAATCATAAGACTATCAATTTAAATGAAATCGCTGTATATGTGTATAACATATTTTTAGTTGAAATTTTTTTTTTTTGCTTTTTCCATTTTAAAAAACAAATGAACCCAACTACGCTTCTCTTCGACAATTTTCATTTATTTTCAATTTCTAGCTATCGCTCTCTTCAATCTCGCAATGCGCTAAGGTAAAACAAAAAAAGAAATATCTATGACGTCACGATGAAAAGCGATACATATTTATTTTGTGTTTCTTTGCTCTTTATGCAGTAATTTTACTTGAAATGACAAAATAGCTTGCATTCTAGGGCGAGAAATGATGCTATGACGTCATAGTATAAAAACACTATATATTTGTATTTGCATTTGTTATTGTTTTTGTTTTATTTCGCTCTTGTCTCTTCTCAAAATAAATCCTTAAAATGTAAAGAGTACGTAACATACTTTTGTGTGTATATGCGACGGTTGTTTGAAAAGTTTCCAACTTGACGCTTCACCATCTCCTTAACCCAAATCCAAAGAATACTTGGAACTTTTCTCTGCAAAGCAAGTTGACGACTTTCTCATTTAACAAAATTGTCGACCCATCGCGTGCAATTATTCATTTCGGAAATTAAGAAAGATTCGCTTGAAGCTAGATCGCATAAGTGCGGACGGGATGTATGGCCAAGCAGTACTAAGCATAACTTGCAAAATTTTCACCAACCGCCGAGACGTGAATCATTGTATCCTCCAGATGAAATAAAAAAAATATTCAAATTTTTTTCAAATGCTCCTCGGAATGATTCTTTCTCCCTTTTCAAGGTTAAGATAATTCGATAAATAGAGCAACAAACTGCTGCTGCCATCACTTTCCTAATCGGAGAAGCAATTTTTGTATTTTCTTTAAAATCAATTCTCCCATCGCAGTCGTTCGACATTAATTTCGACCAATTTCTTCGAAAAGAAGATTAAGCACGTCCCTGCTATTTGCACCAGCACTGATGTAATGCTTTTCTAGCATCTTTCGAGTAAATTAACCTTTGTTCCTATATAGTTTCCGTTTAGATGTACTTGACATTTGCCATTACTTTAGATCAAGGCATCATACGCAAGGAAACCGTCTGATTTGAAAGGTAATTAAATTTAAATAACTATTATGAGATTTTTATTTTGATAACAAAGTATCGGGAATTCTTACAAATAGCAATCACATAGATCACATATAGCCTAGGATTTCAAGAAATGCATTTATTTCATGTCCAGAAATGCGAATGGGCAAGACGCATCGTGACCTAAGTTCCTAGTTCTCCGCGAATCATTTGGGACTCCCGTCACCTTCTTTGGTATGGAACAGCACGCCGTGCATCTGCCGGTGCAGGAGATCTACTCCGTTCCGCAGATAGCGCTAGGTAAACGCTTGATTCTCTTTTCCGAATTCACTTGCACAAGTGCTCAAGCTTAACAGCATTGCCTTAATGTTTCCAACAGGATCCAAGCAAGCTTACGGTAACCCTATGCTTAAAGTATAGATGAAAATTCATTAAAAAAAAATCAAAATCAACGTTTTTCGACATTATTGTAGTTTCACCTACATTTCGGGCGAGTGTGTGAACGGATCAAGTTCATTTTTTAACCTCACAGTCTTAATCGATTAATGAACGTTTGTGCTAAATTTCAGTTTTCTGCGACGGTAACGATTCACAAAATTTACCCGCTAAATTGACGGCCTTCCGTAAACCTATTATTAATGTATAAAGAAAAAGAAAAGATTCTTGTATGATATATTTCACGTTTCAAATTTAATTATTTTTCCTCTATGAATGCATATGTGTGAGTATAAATGAGGAACTTGCTTATGTTTCCGTTAAAAATTTTTGATATACACTAGATACTGATCAAGCATTTCGTTACAAAGTTGATGTACTTAGTCATATATATTGATATATATATATATATATATATATATATATTCCATCGTTCGCTTGAACTGTTACGAGCGCATAACTTTAAATAAAAAACAGAATCTCTACAGAAAATAAAAAAAAAAGGAAAAAACAACAACAGCAAAGATATTCATATTCAAAAGGAGAATTTCGCAACCAAAGGTAATGTCGATCTCAACAATGTATCCATAATTAAGCAAAAGCCATTGACGGGTGTTTAAACTCATTTCAAGGCGAATACGATTTTCTTTATTTTTAACTTTTGTAAAGTGCAAAATAATAATCTCAGCTATCATCCCCGCTCACCATTAAGTGATAAGAGAGAACAGAGCGAGAGAGAGTTAGAAAGAAAGAAATTTTTAAACAGCACAAAAAGTAATGACGTTGTTACGGTGAATAGTATTTATAGTAAAGCATCATAACAACACAATTTCTAGTGACATCACTGATAAGGTTTCAAGGACACTAATAATAATAATAATAATAATAATACTGAAAATAACAATAAAGAACAAGCAGCAATTGAATCCTTTACACATTTTACAAGTGCGAAGAGAATGAGTGAATGAAAGTCAAGTTGCACACTGTAGAGGGTTACCATACTATTACTCGAAAATATATGATTTTGTGTCACCACTACATTTAGAAGATAATAATTATGTTAAGTACATTAAATATTATATATTATATCGTCTAAAAATAGGTCTTGAGGATCCAAAAAAAAAAAAAAAAAAAAAAAACACATGTGAACGGTTTACATATGTCGAAAGTTCGTTTCAAGTTCTTTCTATTCGTTCGCTTCGAGTTAAATTCGAAAAACTTGTAAATTCTTGATTGGTTCCGCCTACAGTTGGAAAAAAAAACACTCTAAACCACTTGCTGTTTATTGTGCTTTTTTTTTTTTTTTTGTTAGTCAAGAGGGCTGCCAGCTTCTCCTTCTTAATCAAAAAAAAAAAAAAAATCAAATTCAATTTTAGAGGAATCGTAGTGATAACCTTCTCGCGGACACGTAGAATATTGAGGAAAGGTCTGGCAACCTATTCATTAAATGTAGAAAGAGACACATGCGAGCTTCACTCATTCAAGTAGGATTGAATTGAGTTTAGTTGCATTATAACTGTTGGTTGGTGATAATTGAGTTTTATGATAAAATTCAGAGAAGGCAAACGAATACAACACACAACTATTACTGTGTAAAGAAAATTGCAAAATAATATTACAAATAAAATTATGCAAATTCTTGTTCTTGTTCTTGTATTGTTTTTTTTTTTTTCCTTCTCTTTCTTGTTTCTTGTTTAATTAAATGTAGGTTCAAGTGCTTGAGTTTTGCAAGAGTTTAAGTATTTTGTTGTTTAGCTACCGTTATAATTAAAATTTAATCAGCGATATTATTGATAAGTTTATATTTACACGTACATACATATGTACATGTATGATGTATATAACAAAATTCATATCTGCTGGCAGTGATAAACCTTCAAGTGACAGTTGACTTGATATGATTGTAATTGGGTTGTGATTGTTATTATGTTCTGTTTATTATTGACTTTCTTGTCACTTGTGAGTAGTTTTAAATTAGATGGCATTTTTAATTTACGCACATATGTCCAAACGAGAATGAGAGTCGATTAGTGAATAAATACATTTTTTTACTTATACTATATATATATATATACAATATATATATATATATATATACAATATTATTAGTGTAATAAATGCTATATTAAATTGATAGAAATTATTTATTTAAATGATGAGATGACACTTAGTCACGTTCGAACCTAACCATCTTACCATCTTAGATACTTTGAATTAAAGGTTAGGGTTTAAAATTATAACTTATTGAGAACAAACAAAAACATCATTTTTAAATGTTCAATCAACATAAGTTTTTTTCATTGATTTTTATTCGTATGATATAAAAGTTAAATATTTATTTAAATATTTTAACAAAATGACAATAAGTCGTCGCACACGTAACGACATACTGGTGTGCATGTTGTATTACATTCGAATCGTTAATCCATACTTTTACATTTTATTTCATGGAAACCAATCAAGTGCCCATTTTACATAGTTTCTTTTTGTTGTTTTGAGGTAATTTTCCAAGTATTTTTCTTGTTGATGATGTTGACGTATTGCCATTTTATCACTCATTGCACTCAAGAAAAAAAATCAGTTAAAATTGAATGAGTTTGCCTTTAAACGCAGAAGGGGTTTAAAGAAATCATATTTTTTTTAGGTGAAAAATTTCCCTAAGCATGATTGAAAAATGAAAGGTCTACGACAAGCCTTGCCAGTAAGGTAAGGACGGTCTTCGGCTCATAGACAAATAGAAGAAATGTAAGTGACTAATTGAAAAGTTCGTGGCACGAAAATTATATGAAATAAACATTAAGCTAAGGAAATAATTTTATTGTTTACTATAAACTCACTGTTGTAATGCATCGTAATCCATTGTTCGCAATGATTCCGTAATGAATATATATTGTGTTATTGAAAGGGTCTTTTAAAAGTTCTTCACATCGCTACTTATCCCTAGTTGCTATTTTTATTTTTTTTTCAATGAACAGTTGCTCCGGGCAAGTCGACAATATCATATCCATAATACGATGACAATTAGGCAGAAAGAACAGGAAAGAGGGGTAGATTCCGTTATCGGCCTATGTCCGGTACATGCCAATCGGAACTAAAGCATAATCCATCGCACTGAGAATCAAAGCCAAGTATGCCGATTTTTAATAGTCGCGCTTTTAATCTGTTAGGCTAAGCGGTAACTTGATTAGTTGATGAAAACAGATACTTGTTATGTACGAATCCTTAAAAGGAGCGGGAGGAGATGAAAATCCAATGTAACTCTTACAATCTGTCATGATTGTGCCTTGAGAGAATTTGTTTTTTTTTTTCGACCATAACTACTTTCAGGTATTTTTTCAATTCTCCTGATCAGGGTAAGATTAGAAATCTATTCAATATTTGGAAGTGCACGACATTGATCCACAAATTTATAGTGACTAATCATTTGAAATTTTGGTAAAAGAATTTACGAAAACGGGTTAAAAGCTTATTTAAAAAAGAAGCATGAAGTGCCTGCAAAAAGCGAAATCGCATAACTTACTTTTACTCTATAAGAAATATTGATTTAAAAACTTATACAAATCGTTTGTAAAAATATCCCAAACTGACCAAATGACATATCCCCACCTAACAAAACTTTTTGCAATTCTCATGTATTGGGTTGAGTTGATAGGTCTGAACGGATCAAGTGAATGTAAGCCAATTCACTCAAAAAGATTTGAATACAAAGAAAAATTGGTTTGTGGAACATGGGAAAGAGTGATACCATTATTGACATCTTTGATCGCTCTTAATCGCACTTTGGCTAGTAGTTCCTAATTTTTCCTAATGATGAAATTTTTTTGCCTTCATCAAGAGCTCACAAATCCAGCACGAATTTTTCCGCCCACTTCCTCAAGTCTAATTGTTTATTTTTTTATTTTTTTTTTCAAATTAACGGTTTTAGTACTTGCACTTACTAAACTTGGCTACTCGATCACAAAGATCATCGTTGTTCACATTCATCTGCTCAAGCGCAAAGCATTGAATTATTGAAAAAATAGAATTTCTTAATTCATTTATGATTCGATTATGAATATTCAATAACTGTCAAGTCTTTCTTTTGCAAGGAATTATTGTATTTGAATAAGAATTTCAAAGGTGCTGCACTGACGCTGTCAACTCGGCTTGTAATTCCACGTATGCAATATATAAATATTTTCATACTCTATGTCCTCGTCCCCGGGCTTATCAATTGTCCAACTATCCAAGTGACACCGGTAAACAACATGGATCGTCTCACCATTGCCTCTTCTTTATATGTTGTTGTTGTTGTTGTTGTTGTTGTGCACTACTCATTTAGGCATTGTAAGAGAAGGAATCAAAAAGAAATGGAAGAAGTGAAGTAAAAGTATGTACACGACAGATTCTCAAAACGAAACACGACAGACAGCCGACAGACTACTTCGTGGCGTTGCTTTATGAAAAACTTGTTTCTAAAATAGGAAAAGATATATATATATATATATATATATATATATAAACCTGTTGTGATAATCTTATTTACGGTATCAGTTCGTTTTAATGAGATTTCTCAGCGTAGGTGTTAGCGATTTCCTAAAAAGTTTCTTATTATGCGGTAATTTTTTGTGGTGTAAATTCCACTTAGGTGTTTGTGTCTAGGCTTAGTTGAAAGGCCAATCTTTAAGAGTTTATTCAATGCTAATATAAGCAATAACGACATTTTTGTGTAATTTTCACAAATTTTCCAATTTTTCTTTCAGTCGTTAAAGTTACATGAGACAATATGGCAGCAAATGATTTTAATTGAGGCCATTATAGTTAACTGCAATATAAATATAAAGTCGATATGTCAAATTGATATAAAACGCACTTATAAGCCGTCATAAATCGCAGGATTGATTGTGTATCCGTTGCAACTATGTTGATTAAAGAGTATCGGATACCGTTGCCGTTAACGGTAGAGGAGTATCGCATAGCTCAATTGTACATGATAGCGGTATGCGTTTCATTATTATCGCATTCACTTTTATCGAGTACTTTTGTTTTTTTCTTTTCTTTTCTTTTCTTCTTTTGTTTTTTTTTTTTCTTTTCTTTGATTATTCATAATTTGTTTTTGCAGAAAAAAAGTCGCGAGGAAAGTCATGGCGAGGGAAGTGGTGTAGAAATTATTATCAATGAGCCGTACGATGACGGACCTGGGGGCAAAGGTCAATATACCAAAAAAATTTATCATGTCGGCAGTCATCTACCAGGTTGGATAAAAAGTAAGTTTATTAAAATACTATAGCTAGCTATTCGATTCGGTGTGTAACGACTTGTGAAAATTATTACCTTCGAGGTCTTCTACCGAAAAGCGCTCTCACAGTGGAGGAGGAGGCATGGAACGCTTATCCCTATACACGTACGCGTTATACCTGTCCATTTGTCGAGAAATTTTCTCTAGATATAGAAACCTATTATTTCCCCGATAATGGTTTCCAAGAAAATGTCTTTAAGCTAAGCGGCGGCGATTTACGAAATCGTGTTGTGGGTAAGGATCGTTCATATTGTTACGTTGTACTTGTTCTCCTTTATCAATTTCTTCTTTTTTACTTTGTTGTCTTTTGTAATATCTTTCCCAGATGTGATAGATATTGTTAAGGATCAGTTATTTGGTGGAGATTATGTTAAGGAAGAAGACCCGAAATTATTTGTGTCTGAAAAGACGGGTCGCGGACCCTTAGGCGAGGATTGGCTAGAGGAATATTGGCGCGAGGTTAAAGGTAAAAGGCAACCCACCTCGCGCAATATGTCCTTGATGTGTGCGTATAAAATATGCCGTGTCGAATTTCGTTATTGGGGCATGCAAACTAAATTGGAGAAATTTATACATGACGTAGCTTTACGTAAAACTATGTTGAGAGCCCATCGTCAGGCATGGGCTTGGCAAGACGAATGGCATGGTTTGACCATTGATGATATACGTGAAATTGAAAGGCAAACGCAATTGGCTTTGGCCCGCAAAATGGGTGGCGGCGACCAAAGTGCTGATGAAGAAGAAGAAGAAGGAGAAGAAGAGGAAGAAGAAGAAGAAGAAGAAGATGGTAATTATATTTCTAGAGAGAGACAGAGAGAGAGAGAGAGAGAGAGAAAAAAAAAATAATACAAGTCTTAATATGACTCCGTTATCATTCAAACAGAAAGCGTTTCGGAGGCAGCTATCAAGTCCCCAGTACAGGAAAAAATTGGTAAAGAGCCTCCCATCGTAACGCAAGAACCGCCTAGCGAAGATGTCTCGTCCGAAGAAGATGAAAGCCTGCAAACGGAACAAAAGAATGCGGAAAGTGAAGAGAGATCCCGTTCGCAGAGCATACAATTAGCGAAATCAAAATATGGCTCCAAAACAGGTGGCTTGCATTCACCTTTGGGATCCGCGCATAGTTTCGATTTGCAGGTAAGTAAAAATTAAACTGAAATCGATCAATCGATTGCAAACAATTACTTGCCTGAAGTTGAAAATTCTTAAAGCATGAACTAATTTCTCTTTAACTTGGAAATCGGCTCTAATTCAAATCGAAACCATATACTTCTTAAAATTAAACTTCATTTGAGTTTAACTTTTCAATTTTTATTTTGTGCGTTAGCCGCATGCGAGACATGTCGCGCATAAAAATGTAAGTTGCATCATTTTCTTAAGCTCTCCTCTTTAATATTTAAAAGCTCCTATTAAAGCATGAATCCATTCAATTACATACCTAAATAAATTGCTTGCAAAAGTTCTGAAACGAAATTTCAAAATGTTTTTAGGTGGCAAATTGGCGCATGGAACGTTTGGAAGTCGATTCCAAGTCTAATTCAGAAGACGAGTTTTACGATTGTGTCGGTGAGTGGGATGGACCGAGTTAACCTAAACTTATAATTTCTACTCGGCTTTTGTCTGTTCATATAGATACGAATGAAAGTAACTCGTTGGCAAGATGGAGTTCGATGGAATTGTTGGGAGAGCGTGATGCCAGTCCCCCTTATCAAGGCGACATGACCGATAAAGACAAACAAGAGGACAGTATATTTAATCAAGATTTCCTAATGCGTGTGGCATCTGAGCGTGGCACTAAACGGCAATTGCATTCTTCGGCTAGCGTCGAGCGTAATCAAGAGTTCTCACCGCCAGGATCTCCGGGAGCAGGTTCTTGTTCAACAACAATTCTGATTTTAGTCGTGCATGCGGGCAGTGTTTTAGGTAGCAAACGATTTGAATCTAATAACATTCGTCACGCTTTTCATATTTTACTTTGTATAATTGAAGATGCTGCCAGTGAGTTAACGTCAAAAAAATCTGATGTTACAACATTTCGTACATCGTTTGAGGCTGTTATGCGTCAGCACTATCCCAGTCTTTTAAGTCATGTGACAATTAAACTAATACCTTGTCCCTCGATATGTACCGACGCTTTGGGCATACTTTCCAGCTTGAGTCCTTATTCATTTGACACTTCACCGTCGGCAGGTGATATTCCAAATGTTGCAGATGTTCCTATTGGGGCTATACCGTTATTGGCTGTAGCCTCTCCAGAATTCCAAGATACTGTCAATAAGACAATAATAGCTGCCAACATTGTTTACCACGAGTTTGTAAAATCTGAAGAAGGTCATGGCTTCTCCGGACAAATTATAATGCTGGGCGATTCAATGGGCTCTTTGCTAGCCTATGAGGCTTTATGTCGATCAACTAATTCAAATGATGTTGGAGGAATCCGCTCTTCCCGCAACACCGATGATGATGAACGCTTTGATGACTCTGATATGGACGCGAAAAAATTATTAGTAGCGCCTTCGCCACGTCGCAGACGTTCTTCATCGTCTAACGATACAAAGGGGGCAAAACTTGACTTCGAAGTTAATGATTTCTTTATGTTTGGCTCTCCGCTGTCTATTGTATTGGCAGCCAAGAAACTCCATGATTCCAAAGCAGGTGTGATCACATCAAATCAAGGGTATTAAGAGAAATTATGGACTGATACTTTTCAATTTTTAGCATTACAACGCCCCAACTGCAATCAGGTTTATAATATGTTCCATCCTACCGATCCTACAGCTTCCCGTTTAGAGCCCCTACTTAGTGCACGTTTTTCAATGTTAGCTCCAGTCAACGTGCCACGCTACGCTAAATATCCCTTGGGCAATGGTCAACCTTTGCATTTACGTAAGTTGAATTGCACATCGACGGGATTAATATTAAAATAAAACAAATAAAAAATATCTTCACAGTGGAAGTTATACACTCCAACCCTCAACACTTTAACGAAACAAATAGTAACATATGCATACGCCGTTTATCGGATGTTTCTTTACAAAGTACAGTATCGGGACTAATAGAAAATATTTCGCTAAGTACCATTAATACACGTAAGTTGCTAGACATTCGCTCCGTGCCTGCCTCTTATTAGATAATTCAGCGCTTTGCATTAGAATTTTTCATCTGCATTATATATGTGTGTTTATATATATAATATATAATATATAATATATATATATATATATATATATATATATATAATTTTTTGTTTGTTCTTTATTTTCTAGTTCAACAGAAATGGTGGGGCAGCAAGCGATTGGATTATGCGTTGTATTGTCCTGAAGGCTTAAGTAATTTCCCCGCAAATGCTTTACCCCATCTTTTTCATGCCAGCTATTGGGAAAGCGCTGATGTTATTGCTTTTATTTTAAGACAAGTGAGTTGAGAGATGACTATACTACTTACTCTTTTAATTAACGTTTAAAGATGTTTTTATGTCTACAGATTGGTAAATTTGAGGGCATTCCATATGTAACTACCGCAGATAATAAGGAATCTATTAACTTTAACCCGGGCCAGCCTAGAGAGAAATGGATACGAAAACGGACCTCGGTTAAATTGAAAAATGTAGCCGCCAATCATCGGGCAAACGATGTGATAGTTTTAGAAGGTCGCGAACAGCGTTTAAATGCTCGTTTCATGTACGGCCCATTGGATATGATCACATTGCATGGCGAGAAGGTAGACATACACGTTATGAGAGATCCTCCGGCAGGTGAATGGAATGTATTAAGTACTGAAGTAACTGATAAAAATGGACGCATCGCTTATTCAATACCTGAGCATATGTCCTTGGGTTATGGCATATATCCAATTAAAATGGTTGTACGTGGTGATCATACCTCAGTTGATTGTTATTTGGCTGTAGTGCCACCTCTAACCGAATGCGTAGTGTTCAGCATTGATGGTTCTTTTACGGCATCCATGTCAGTGACTGGTCGCGATCCCAAAGTAAGAGCTGGGGCTGTTGATGTCTGCCGTCATTGGCAAGAATTGGGCTATCTATTGATATATATTACGGGGAGGCCAGATATGCAACAACAACGCGTAGTATCATGGTTGAGTCAACATAATTTTCCTCATGGATTAATTTCCTTCGCCGATGGTCTTTCAACTGATCCTTTAGGTCACAAAACAGCCTATCTAAATAATTTAGTTCAAAATCATGGAATTATAATTATGGCAGCATACGGCAGCAGCAAAGACATTAGTGTTTATACGAACGTCGGTTTACGAGCAGATCAAATTTTCATAGTGGGCAAGGTACGATATTACATATATTTATAAAATACGAAAATACACGCATCAAAACTCGATCTTGTAAGAATATAATTTTACAGTGTTTCTCTGCATTTAAAAAGTTGCTTGCGCTTTTATATACTTTCTTGATCGTTACATCATAAGCCAAATACAATTTTCTTGCTTGCTATTATTTCTTCGAAAAGGAACGTAATAAATTTTTCAAAAGATTGTAACGTAATTACATGTATTCTTGATCAGTCTGTCTGTCTAACGTAATATATGATCGCAATTTAAATTCTTTGACTAATCGAAGAAATCCCGTCTCAAACACCTCCTCCTCCTTATCAGGCAACTTAATTTAAGTTCAAAACACACGTAAGTTAATTCTCTGACAAAACCATTAAAAATAGTATACTCTGAATGGTCAAACTCCTGCTACGCAGTAGAATAGCCGAAAACGCTATTTCACTTTGTGCAGGGGAAAGAGTTTGGTCATGTCTGCCGGTCTGGCCGTTCGTCGGTTGAATATGCGATTACGAACATAAAACTGTGTTTTGGAAAAAAGTCCATCGTAAATATTAACTTATTACTTTCGCTAGGTTAAGATCAAAGATCAGAACATTCACTCTATAACTCTCCCTACAATTACCAATAAAATGCTTATTTGTAGAGAGGACTCATTAACGGCGCTGAAATGAAATATTTTGCACACATTGCTAGAAATTCCGGAGAAATTATTCGCTTTGAGTTCGTCGGACACTAAATTCAATTGATAGTGTTGTGCTTGTTTGAGCAGAACATCTGTTCTGGCGGGTCGCTTGGTTAGATAGCCTCAAGAATCCAGTCTTTTTTTTTCGTTACGAAATTCGTATTCGTGCAAGAAGCCTGGAATACTTGAATATACATATTATCTAGTAATCTAGTAGAAACATCAATTTACTTCTTCTTCATCGTCATGTGTTTCTTCAATGAATTGATGAACTTACGAGTTACTAATAATCCTTATTTTGTGCTGAATACCGTTATGTCATTAATTTTTCACTAGTTTTTAATTTTCTAATTTGGTTTTTTTTTTTTTTTTTTTTATTTTATTTAAAATGCAGGTTAGCAAAAAGCTTCAAACTAACGCGACTGTCTTGAATGATGGATATGCTGCTCACTTGGCAACGTTGCAAGCAGTTGGCGGTTCGCGGCCAGCTAAGGGTAATGCACGAATGGTTATACCACGTGGCTGCTTCAATTTACCAGGACAAACTACTAATCCCAGGCGTAGAAGGTAAGTAATCAGCAATCCCCTGAAAGTACAAAAAGTATCGAGCTTAATCTTAAATAGTGTACAATACTTTCGTACTTCACAACATACATATATCTATACATAGATTGCATTGAAAATTCATAGTGTATTGATTGTATAAAAAACAAAAAAAACAAAAAAAAAAACGAAAAAAAAATTGTTTTCGATTAGTGGCTGTTAGTTGTTAGTTGTTATTATATTGACATTCATTCATTTTATTTTTATTAATTTTTCATTTTAATCATAATTAGAAAGCAATTAATTATTATTAAAATTACATTCGTTTGCTGTCGATAAGCTTTAGTTCTTTCTATTTTTCCTGTTTTTTCTTTTTGGAATTTAAAAAAAAATTTTAAAATATTAAAAAACAAAAATTTCATTTTATCGCACAGTCATCTACATTGCGAACCAATTAACACAACTAACAACATGCAGATCTTTAAGGAAGAAGAAGAATAAACAAAACGAAATTAAATGATGAAAATCTAAACATTGAAAAAATCTTCTAAAAAAAAAAAACTACCTTTAAATAAACTTTTAATGAATAATCTTGTATGTGAATAATTATTAATATATCTTCTTAAAGTGTTGTTAATATATAAATGTTTTTGTGTGTGTTTTCTTTTGTCTTTTGTGTGTGTATTTTTTTTTTTTATTTTCACTTTTACTTTTCTTTTTTTTTTTTTTTTTTTAAATACAATTTCAATCCTTTTTATTCAATGAAATCAATTTAAAATCAATCGGAACCAATCACCTCCTACACACTCCCGGGAAATTTTCTTATATCCTTTCACTGCCTTCTCTTGATTCTTTCTTTATTTATTTATTTCTTTATTTATATATTTTTTTTATCATTTTCTAATGCTGGCTTTATATTTTTTGATTAAAATAAACACCGCCTGCCTGCCATACAAAAACCCTAAATAGGCTGCATGAGCAAACGGAAGCTTAGACCTACAAGCCCCAACAGTAAAAAATTAACGCAACAACCTTAAAAATTATTAAATGTAATGAATTGTTAAGCACTACTTAGCCTTCACACAATTAGTGCAAATTAATTAATGCAAAATAGTAAATATATTTTACGTACATATATATATATATATATATATAAATACATTCATGTATATATGTACATATGTACATATATATTTATTGAAAATTCCTTTCTCTCTGCTTAAAAATAAAAATAAAAAATAAAACACAAAAATATCTACATACAAATGTGTCATTGTATATGTGTTTATGTATATATTAATATATATATATACATATATATACATATATGTGCATATATTTACATAAAACACCATCTATTGAAATGATCATCATGTCCTATGCGATCAACAAACAGCAATGAGAGCGGTCTGTCTTCGCCTATACGCAGTGGTTATTTAAAACGCAAAACCTACTTTGGTCATCATCAACAGCATTAGAGAATTTAAGAGTAATACCGTTTACCTACATATTAACGGCTGCTTAAACATCATTATCAATAGTGATACTATTATTAGACGTTTTGCTTAGTTATACGCATTCATCAGCAAAACAACAACAATCAATCATAGAAACGATGCAGACAAGACACCCTACTAGCGGAGTAAAGAAAAACAAGACACAAAAATCTCCAATATTATCATTTAGATGAAAAAAAAAAAAAAAAAAACAGAAGAGAAAAAAATTCAAAAATTAGTCTCATTACACATGGATTATGGCAGCAATACCATAAGTCCTCATGATTTATTAACATAACAATGCAAGGTTATGAGTTACCATAATCGAAAGCCATAAGCAGAATTCTAAGAGCATCATCATCTCTCTCTCTCTCTTAATAAGGTCTAAGATGTCACGCAGTAAGTAGTAAGATCAACAATTTTTCCTTTATTTCTTAATAGCTTTAAGTCTTTCTTTCATAAACGATTTCTCTCGAGACGAGGTTGAAGAATATTGAAAATACACAAAAAACAAAGAAAAAAAAAATTCGATTTTATTTACGTCTACTACCACCACCACCACCACCGTCACCCCCACCAACTCGCCGATATTCGTTAATGAATTAAAATTTATGTAAAATAGAGCATCGAGTACAATCAACTCGTTAGGTCACGGATCGGGTTAACCGCAACGCCCACAACGCTAAAACGCACCATATGAGCAATATATTAATGAAAGGAAAACGAAGTAACAAAATACAGCCGGATAATGGTGACTCTTAAATGCCCTATATGATTAGTCTCATTGTACTGTTATAGCACAATATGAGGATCTTCATGAAGATCCTTATTTGAGCTCGAAGTCTGTAGTCCAAATTTAAAGGAGTGGAATTACACATTAAATTGCGATTCTGTGACCGATATTCGTTATATAATATACATATAAAAATAGATTATTTCATCTATAACTCGAGCAACCTTGATGAACAAGGTTATTAATTGTTCGTGGTTCGTGCAGCATGTTCAAATATTATACGATTTTCAGCACGTAAACCACGCCCAAAATTTATTTTTGCACAACTAAAAGTGCATTAGATCAGATGGTTTTGCTTCACAACAACGAGGCAACAATTCTTATAGACGATATCATTTAACCAAACATGACCTTTAGTTAGCCCCCATCCACAAAACGTCACGACGAGTCCATTAAGTATGTGTGCACGTATGTAACACGCAGAAACGCTTAAAATAGATCCACTTTTTATTGTACCGATCGATTCAGAATCGTTTTCTAAATCAATCGAAGCATGTCTGTCCGCCCGTGGTCCGTCCATGTCAATTTGTATCCAAGATACAGATCGTAATTTTTCAGATATTTTGACGAAATTTGGTATACTAACGTGTTTTGAACCAAAGACGAACACGATTGCAAATGGCTGGAATCGATCCACTGTTTCGATTAAAACAAAAAAAAAAAAAAAAACAAATTAATACAATATTTAATAAACGGTGGGGTGGATATAAGAGACTCTTTTCAACTAAATGATAATTTCGTGTACCTTATTGACCTTTTTGGCGACACGTCACGTTTCGAATAATTTCTCTTTTTATAGGGTTTGCAGCTCTATTCAATAATTATTTTATTGAAATTTCTAGGTACCTGGCTAGAAAGACTGTATCCTCTTGTTGTTTGATGGTGTTTCAAACCACATAAACTAAGATCCCAGGCTTAACGAGTATGACTGTTACAACAACAACAACAACAACAACAAAAAGAACAGCAACAATAATAATAACAATTAACTTAAAAATATTTATAAATCAGAAAAATATCTGCAAAAAAAAAAAAAAATTTGAAAATTTTATTGACAATGAAAAAAGAAAAAAAGAAAAAGATTCTAAATTTATAACAAAAAAAATTAAAAAGAAGAAGAAAAAGAAAAATGTTTAAATTAAGAAATAATAATAAATAAATAAATAAATAAATAAATAATTAAAAAGGACATGAAATGAATTATATATGTATTTGTAGAAAGTTACAGAAAACGAGTTAAGAATTTATGCATTAATAAAAAATATGAATAATTTTTCCAACTAAAGTTGTTTATAAACGCGAAAGTATTTAATCTTATGAACAAAATGTATATCTTTTCTATGCTAAAGTTCCGCAAACAGAAAAATTGTTCAAAATTACAAAGAAAATTTAAAAAAAAAAAAACAAAACAAAAAAAAAAAGATTTGAAAAACAAAAATACAAATTCTACACTCACAAGTGATTCACTCTCAAACAATTTTACATGGAGAAGAATAAGAAGAAGAAGAAAAAACTAAATACAAATTATTATAATGTATGTGATATGAAACCTATTTATGTATTAGAAAAAAACAAAACTAAAAACAAAATTGTAAATGTAAAAACAAAATAAAATATATATATATATATATATATATATATATAAATATAAATATTTTGTCTTCAGAGAGCAAACAAAGCATGCAATAATTATAAGTCCTGCCGCCATATTCATGTCGCCAACGCCATAACTGGCATTAGGCTAAAACTCTATCTCATTCCTATCCAGAGAGAAGTCTTCTAAAAGTAATCAAGAATTAATATTCGATTCGTGACCAATCTTTTATTACCCACCACGATGAGCTTATCTTTGTTCTTATTTCTAAACAAACGTTGTATTGCAATCGTAACATCGTTATGCAAGCGAGCGTAGGTAGAGATTTCGTTTTAAACTCTAAAATAATCTGCCGCATAGACTGCCGTTTAGATAAGTCGATGTTCGTCTCGTTCAAATCTCAGCACGATTTCATCATATTTGATCGCTGCTATAGTGAGCACTTTCTCGATAGGGGCATTTCCTACCTTTTTCTCTTTCCTGCGTTGCCGTATTACACGTATAGGGGACGTCATCTGACTGTTTTATTTATCTTATTAGCCTCAATTGTCAACTCACCTGAGGCCTAAACTAATTTACAGATTTTCGGTTCCCCTAAAGCTTTAGCAAATACGTTACCCCGTTTTATTTTATATAAAAAGTTTACTCGAAACGCACGTGTACTCCAAGCGTAACGTATGATAATAATAGTGGGCCACAGCTCACCAATAGTTATCCTACACCAACCTATATTATAGTTATATTTATAATGACTTTTTTAAAAAAAAAAAAAAAAAAAAAAAAACGTTGTAGGGGAACTGATCGAAGAGATCGATTTCAATAGCGTTTGTTCGTCAAGTAAAACATGGTGATGAGCAAAATTTCATTAAAATACTTCAAAAATTTCGACCTATATGTTGAACATAAGAAAGCAAAATTGACAGAAGGATAAACAAACGAGAATTATTTGAATCGGTATAATAAAAGATGAGTCTATCTCAAGTCTCTTTGGCTGGCGGATATAGCCGCACTAATCCAATATACTTTTGTATTATAAGCGGTGTAGGGTATAACTTTCATGCATACCAAAAATCTTAAAAAATAGAACCTCATACGAGTAGTAAAACAGTTAACCTAAACTAAATAGGAATAGTTTGTCAGCTAACAAGCGAGTAAAATCGATGAGTTTGAAATTCTAAATGGGCGAGAAAGTGCAGTGCAGCGATGCCTTTCGATTTACTCTAATCACAACTCGATAATATTTGTAATTTCTAGAATACTTGATACATATATATGTATCTCTTTGCATTACATATATATGAATAGATATAAACACACGTACATATATATATTTATGTACAACATACTCGAGATAAGAACAACATATACACGCATATATTCTTGGTAGTCGAAGTCGGCATAGGCAATATAAGTGTAGTATATAAAGTCATACAGCACATATCTCCCACATAAGAGATATGCATACCATATCTGTATAATGTCTACTAAGAAGTTATTATTATAAAAGCAAGTAAGGAAATTATATTCAGTTGTGATCGAATTTTTTATACCCATCGCCGTTATCCTCTTTTTGTAGAACAATGTTATGGAAACTCATGTCGTGTATCTGTTGTAATATATGAGCAACGGATAAGAGAAAGGGTAAGCAAAAGTGTTTACTGTTTTTGTTACATACGCGTGTTGGGCGTGGTAGGCGTATTCTTTGAGAAATTCGAGTCATTTATAAAATTGGATAGGCGTGGGCCATTTTTAGCCCATAGGATATACGTTTCAATTTTTATAGATATATCTCCTGTAGCTTATAGGTAACGAGCAGAAACCTAGCTTTCTATTCCTCTTGATAAATAGAAGTGTTTCCAGTTTACATGGTATTGTAGGCGTGTCCTTCGGTCGATTTGACTCATTTTCAATAATAAGTTGCATGCAAGGGCTTCCAATGTTTTGATCAAATTTAAGTCGATAGAACTATATGCAGATGAACAGACGGGCAGACGGATAGACAGACAGGTTTAAACCGATTCACAGTTTGATGCTGATCCAGAATATATATACTTTGTGAGGCCTCTGAAACTCAAATTCTCTCCCATTTCGGTGTCGAGCAATGGATGCTTTTGGATGCTCTTCACACTTAATATAAATAAAACTCTGAGAGAGAGAGAGAGAGAGAGAGAGACAGGTAAACAGTATACTATCTACCCTTATTAGAAACCATACGGTCTCCGGGAAGTACCTCTATTCGATACATCATTTGTGGTGGGTACTAGATGTTTAAAGCAAAAAGGAAAAAAGAAAACGAAAGCTTTCACTATTGCAAACTATTATACTATCATGCCTTTTGGCTATAACAATAAAATTCTTTATCTGGCTTTTGTACACACACACACATATATATATAGAGAAGACATAATGTAGAAATTTACCGAACAAACTAATTTTTTTTTTTTTTTTTTTTACAACGGAGTATCCACTCATTGTTATACTATGGCCCACCATTACCTGAAAATATGGTAAATTAAGTACAATTACAAAATTATAAGTCATTAAAAAAAAAAAAAAAAAAAAAAAACAGAAATTTAAAAAGATTAAATAATCAAACGTCTATTTTTGGAATCATAAAATGAAATTAAGATTATATAAAATAATGTATTATACACATGCAAAGTAACAACAACACATTCTTAAAAGTGTTAAAATTTACAGTTTAGTGTACCATTTTCCCCGCGCCATCCTTTCAATATTTATCCAATCATCAAAAATTTTTCGAGAAATTTTTCTTTAATATAATAGGAAGAATGTATTTATAATGTATTTATGTATATACCAATATATATATACATATATATATACACCTATATATATGAATATTATGTATATATATATATATATTTCATTTATTATATATATATATATAAATTATAATATATATGTATATTCAGACTCAATAAATCTCCGGTACGATATGTACATGACATAATAGATAGACTCATATGATTTCTGGATAGTAAAGTTTTGAAACGCGTCGATTGAAGGTTGGTGCTATTCAGAAATCATACGGGTCTATTAACAATGTTGCCATATATGAGATTTGTTGAGTAATGTCATATACACATATCTATACATATGTATATATATATATATATACAAGTAAATAGACATATATATATATATATATATATGTATATATATAAATAAATAAATATATATATATAAAACTAAAAAATAAAACCGCATATATCAAATAATCATTTTTTGAGCGTAGACATCATAGTTGGTCGATCGAGTATAATTTTTCATTGCAACTGAGGTAAATATAATTTATCGATCAAATTTTCGATTGATATCTCCGTTAGAGAAGAAGAGGAGAGGCCAACAGAATAAAAATCGTATATTTTCCATTTTCTATTCACTCTGGGCCTGTTTCTGTCCAAAATGTTTTTCAATTCGAAATGTTGTATCTAAATTGTAGATACATACCTCAGGATCATTGTTACCAAAACTTTTTTCTTTCAAGTTTTGCTCTTCTACTTTTTCATTTCAAATGAACTTGAAGAAAATAATTTTTAAATGTTTAATTATATCTATATAACATAGAATGTTTCAGTGGTCTTCCATACGAAAAACAAAAAAAACTTAAAAATGTGGCTTTTTTGAAAAAAAGAACCTGGGACACTTTCAAAATGAACAGTTCATTTGTAACAATGGAGACGGAGATGCACGCGGACAGATGGATATAGCAAAACAACCTGAAAATACCTCGACAATCACCATACAGTCCTATGCAGTCTATAAAGTCTACCATAATAGTGACTGCTTACAAGGCCCGTGTGGTCTAGTGTTGTTTACGTTAATATGAAAAAAGTATATTGGGCTTAAGAGAAGCTTTCAATATCCCCAACTAATCGACTATAGAAATTCGGAATTTCATCTTGCTTAATGGAAACAATATATTTTGGTAATCAAATATTTTTCACGGCAGTGGAAAAGTGTAGGTCGTTTCTTTCCTTAAATTGTTCTTTTTTGCGAAAGGTGAACACTTTAATAAAAGTCTACATTTGACCAAGAATCTTTTGATCACCTAACAGATGCAAATAAAATTCAAATTGTGTTGAAATACATACTCGTTTAATATGTATACATTGTAAGCGGAAAAATCCGACAATCGGGCATTTAATAAGGGCCAACGTGAAACAAGTAAACTTTACTTTGTTAGTTTGCTGCAGGCTTCGGAGATATGTTTACCTAACTTCAGTATTGCATTATAATTAATTGAGAGCAACTCAAAATCGTTTACAATTTTTATAGTTTAATGCTGCAAAAATGTTAGGCGTAAAAAAAATACATTAAAAATCATTCCTCAACGCCTCCCTTTACTCACTATCTGAGACATTGTTATTCTCATGAATAATAATATGATAATAAAACCTTCAACTTTAACAATAAAATTATTAAAATCTTGCCTTGTTTTAAGTGTTCTTCGATGTTAAAACGTTTGCTGCCAAGTTGTTCATATACAGATGTCATTTTACGCCATGTGTACCGTTTTCGGTACACGCCAACAAATTCAATAATCGGAAATAAATAATTTTTTTCCACTGTATGAAAAAAAGAAGAAGCAGTTTTCGTGCTCACGTGCACCGCCATCGGTGCTCATCTCAGATAGTCATTGGACAGCATGAAATTTTCAAAAATTTTCAGATACTACTTCTCCTCCTTAACAAATTCGGCCTTGGCGTACAAATGAGACATGGTATTTACTGGCAACAGTAGACGTGGGAGGCAGTTTGTGAAGAACAATTAAAGTAATTGCTAATAATTTTAGCATATTTTCCGTACCAAATCGAGATATTTTGATTGATTTCGTTTTTTTTTTTTTGAGAAAAAAACAAGATTTTGATAATATTTGTTTTTTTCGATGATGAATAATTTTATTTCAAGGCCTTGTACTCATGTACTTGAAATTATGTTGTTATAAATTTCTCTTCAATGGTCTTTTTGTAAGAGATTTCTTGAGATCCCTTGTAACGACTCACGCTGAGATACGTTAAATGTTAACTTGTAAAATTGATTGTTTAGAGTCATGCACCAATTCCCCTGCAAAGTTGGCTTTATTCAATATCGAAAAAAGACGTCCAGGAAAAATCCAAATTTCTCGTTTAATGAGTTTTCATAGCTTTGACTCATCCTAATAAATAATGAAAAAATTTCCTTCTCTTAATTTGCCCCATTTTCACACATATTCTAAAATTCCTTAAGCCCAGATCGCATATCACGACATAAACAAATCAAATAATGATTAATGATTGTCTGCATATTTTTTATGATTATATTTTATATATATATATATATACAGATTTTTCTTCTTTTCTCATACGAATTTTATCCTCATTCATATTTCATCGAGGCGCCCTATTTATAATAATTTAATAATGAAATTTGAATGAGGAAAAAAATTGAAAGCAAACCGAACTTGTACATAAAATCACTTTGCGCTTAGTTAGTGTTTCCTATCCTTCAATTCGCTGATGTGCGTATAAATGAACTCAAATATATTTTAATAGAAAACTTTGAAAAATCGCTAATGATAATTGTTAATGTCGTTAAAAAAAAAAAAAAAAAAAAAAAATTAAAAATACTCTTAGCTCCACATAAAATGAAAACTTTTGTAGCGTATATGAATATTTGAATATATGAATATATATAGTGGAAAAGAATTTCCAAAATTAATTTTTGTAAATGTTTACAATAAAATTGAAAAAATTCACTAAAGGTTTTTGTTTGAGTAAATTTGTAGCTAAACATTTTTTTATGTTTTGCGAGTAAATATTAATTTCAAATGAAAGCAAATTAATTAATAAATAAGAATAGCGTTATGAATTATTTATGTTACAATTAGATAAAAATTAAAATAAAGCAAACTATAATTCTTGTTATGAAGCATAAGCTAAAATAAATGTGCATTTATGCGAAATATTCTATTAAGTAAATTGTTATCAAATTCATTTAAACTGGAAAATTAGGCTTAACAGAGGACTTTCAAGGCAAGTCCGATCATTTCGATATCTGTATGGAATCGTAAATAGTCCTTGCATGCGTTCATAATGAATTCAATTTGGACATACATGCTTTCTAAAAAGTGAGATGAAACAACTAAACAGAAAGACAGAAAGAGAGAGAGAGAGAGAGAGAGAGAGAGAGAGAGGACGAAAAATCTCTCAATATTATGTAAGACTATCTGACACTGTTGTTGACCTGTTTAGATCAAAAAGTGAAAGATTGTCACATGTAGTCTTCAGACTGGAGACTGGCTCTTGACAAGAAGAGACCTATCGTACAGATCCGATTATTTAGTGCCCGTACAATTGAGGATAATCGCAACCATCACGAGAACACCCTGGGGCGCCGCACACAACAATCAGGCCTCAATATGCTATTTCGATCGAAGTATCTTGCATCGCCATTGCTTCTTATGCTTAGCAATGTGGTAGCATTGTAGTAGGTGGGCAACCTAATCTCCGTGGATCTCATAGTTTTCTGCTATAATACTTTAGGATTATTGGTACTGCCTGTGTCATAGCTACGGACGTGCTCTTACTTTCGGATTATCCATACTTCCTGGGCGTCATTCAGCTAATACTCCATTGAGTTTGTAACGTGCAAGGAGCAGATATCAATCTAGCATAAATCACGCTTAGAGTACGTAGACGTAAAGTGAGAACATCTCCGGTTTTTAAAAAGAAATAAAAAAACAAACTACAACAGATAGGTCGACAAAAATTTGAAAGTACATTGTACTAATGAAGCTATAGTACCAAGTATAAAAATGGAAACACCTTACCACGCCTACCTAGTATTATGGAATATGAAAATTTAAGTTTTTGCCAATACCCTTATAATGCGCGTGAACATGCTTCACAAGCCCCACAAAGTATATAAACTCTTGGCCAGTTTAGAATTCGGAGTACACCTAAGCTTGTTTATCTGTCCGTCTGTCCAACTCTGTGTGTATCTGTGATAAACATTCTCCCGTTCGCAGGAATGATGACATCATCTACAAATTTACGAAGGACAAGGGACACGCCCACAACACGTACACGTCTATGCGACAGAAACTGGAAATACATTTGCTTTCCGTGTTGTCTACTCATAAAATACAGCAAATAAACCATATAAATTTCTATTTCGGCCGCGCCCATCCATTATTATAGAGGGTGAAAATTTAGTTAGTTAGTAGTTTTCCTTTTTTTTTTTTTTTAATCTTTTTTATGATAATGGCGATGCGTGTAGAAGATTGCCCCGCGATCGGATATATAGTTGTAGTTCTTGTTTCGCCTTAAAGAACATATTTTACAGACAGACCGAGGAACCGACATCTGTATATTCTAGTGCTTCTGAAGCTTGGTTCTGCGCTTTCGACAGACTCCCACGCTAAAGTGATGGATATATAAAAATTCCAAAGTTATTCCGATTGAAAATTTCCAATATCTTTTAAAATAAATTCACCTTCATTGCCGTTTACTCACTTACGCGCTAAGAAGAGAAGTCTATAGCACTTAAAGAGTTCTAATGAGAACAAAAACAATCAGTCTCTTTATAAATTTTGCTTTATTCCGAATTATTTTTTATAAGTATTTTTTTTTGTTTTTTTTTTTTTCAGCAGAGAGTATTAAAGACATATACTGTATACATGGCCAGAGTGATGTTTCCTTACAAGCAATTAGTTAAATTTTTAAGGTGCTAATACGAACATAAATGAACGCGAGCTCGCATTAAAATGGAAAAGCGATTGTAACGTTTGCTTGCAAATAGATAAAAACATTAATTAAAATATTAAAAAAAAAAAACCACAAAAAAAAAAAAAATCAAATAAATAAATAAATAAACTAAAAAGGGAATATTTTGCAAAGCAAAGCGAAAAGTGAAAGCGAATAACGTTAAGTTTTAAATGTTAAGCATTAGCAGGCAAAAATGATATAAAAAGTAAATAAATTTTATATATCATCGATGAGTTGACAGTGTAATTAAACATTTACTAAAAGTGGGTCACCATAAATTTTATATAAAAAAAAAAAAAAAAAAGACATTAAAATTAAAGTAAGTGCATTATATTATTTTTAGAAATAGCAAATGTTTGTAAATTTTGACCAGCAAAGAAAGAGAGATAGAGAGAGAGAGAGTGAGAGTGAGAGGGAGAGCATAAGCAAGTAAAATTTCACCTTTAGACGAATTATGGCAAATCGTTATATTGTTATAGAGTTGATATGCTTTATATTCATTTCAATGAACCGATCAGTGTATCATTTTTGTATTTGCATATGAATGCTTACGAATGATGCTCTTACTGATAGTCCGTTAAATTTCCTCGTTCTCGAAGAATGCATGCACGGCAGTTTAAGGAATTGAATTGAATTCAATTTTTACGCAATTCATTCATTCATTTAAACGCAATTAATTCGTCCCCTGACATTTTTGTGGCAGGGGACGAATTAGCTCTGCCTCTGCTAATAGTCTTAAAATTTTAAAGGCCACTTGACATGTGGAAAGTAAGGGAAAGTCTCGTCTACTCGGACTTTATTTCATAGTATATTTTTAAAAGGGATAATGTCGTTTATTGTTTCAAAACTCCGCTATCAAATCAAGTAATAACTTTCGAATGGGTTATTCGAAAAGTGATTTCGCTTCTTATTCTTCACGTAAATTCATTTTCCCATAGTCGAATTTACACATAAGGCGCATTACAGCCACATATTTTGACGGCTGATATAGCGAGGCTTGCTTATAAAAAGTTTGATTTCATTTCAAGCAAAAGTTTTCGCTTGAAAGCAATATTTTCCGTATATTGATGATAGATGAAAGTGCACTTCAAGAAAGCAAAAAAAAAAAATAAATAAATAAAAAAAATGCTACTTAATGTGTTCACAAAACTTTGTTCCGGAAAGCGAATTGAAACACATAACGACCGCCGAATAACAAGTCGCTGAAGAAAAGCGAAATGATTTTCGAACCACCCCCAATAAATTAATTAGATTCGCTACCACAGTGAACTCAACATTGAGTACAGGAAAAGAATATCGTTAGTTTTGTTTTCTTGTTTTGTTTTTCTAAAAATCCCTATCAGGCGATGCTATCGATTTCTATTTCTTTTCTTATTCAGAATAATGGATTTAACTTAAAACGCATGTTAGATGCAAGCAATAAGAATAACAATTCTTAATAATAATAAATATTTTCATAATATTTATTTTGCCACCTTATCAGTGCACATTAATCAATCACATTGTAAAAGTTGCCGAAAAGAGGTAAGAGGTTATACGGATGCAGTGGAAAATATTGCGAAAATGAAAAGAAAAAAAACAACAACAACAACAAATTTACAATACATTGACTCATTGATAGCAGATAATAAGATGATGAGAAAAAATCGTTATAAAGAAATTTAAAAAATTTTCTAGTTTCTAGTACGACATACATATATATATATATATATATATATATATCTGAAGCACTGATAAAATTTTATCTAAATTAGTTTCAGATTTGAAAGCAAACATTTTAAACTGAAGACTAATTCAAATAGGTCTTGCAACCGCAATAATTTCTTAAGATTAGTTATGCATTGTATATGTACACACAACCGATTTATCGATATTTTAAATGTCAATTTGAAACACTTAGAGAAATGAGGAGAGCGGTTTTTTTTTTTTTTTTTTGAAATTTTTCTTTGCTAATGAAAAGCCATACATAGGCTACGACTTCAATCATTCATGTATCTAGAAGGTCTCTCCCTCTCCTTTTTGGTTTTTTTGATTATTAAGCTGCAGCACCCCACTCAATAAGTCCCAGATACGGTCACACTGTTAACAGATCCATATGAGCACCAACCTACAAACGAAATGTGTCAACATTTCATGACATTGCAACCATTAGGTTATTCGGAATTTCCTTTACTGAGTGAACTCATTGCTATTTGATGGAAACAATGGTGTTCGTGATATGAATTGAGTTAAGATATGTTATGGCGACTCTTGTCTGTCGAAATGGTAAATTTGTGAAGGTTTTCATGATTTTAACCAAAGTCGTGAGGGGAGGAGGTTAAAGCCTTCCAGTCGTCCACAATCGGAAGTTGTTTCAGAAAATATAAAAGAATTGCACAAAATCGATTTGGATGAAACGAAAGGTAGTAGAAAAGTTACGTAAATAGCTGATAGCAAAAAACAAGTGCGTATGTAAACATTTGTCCAAGGGAAAGCTCTATTTAAAGAGGGAGTGCGAGCATTTACTCACTTCTGACGATAACATGTTAATGATTTGGAAGGCGTTTGGGCGTTATTTACACGAAATGAAAAGGGATTTTCTCATGCAACTTACGAGAATGGATAAAATATGAACTTATCGGCGGTGAGCCAAGTGGGCAACAACCGGGAAATTCAATCCAAAGCTATCAAGGAAGTAGTCTCATTAAAACTAACCGTCGAAACATCATTAAATTTTGATACCTTCCAATTGCAGTTTTGTACTATTCAGTAATCGTATGGATAATTTTATATCAGACCGGAGACTTATTGAGTAATGTGATATAATGTCATATATAAACCCGTATCCTAAATAAATATAAACGTAAATATCGCCAAACAAAATAAGAAAAAAACAAAAAAGTCTCCTCACGACTGATATCTAAAACTCCTGAGCTGAATTCAAATCAAAAGTATTAAAGGATTGCAAAAGTGTTGTCCATTTTTTCATTCAAAATAGTTTCCATCATTCTCTACAACATTTAACAATATTTTTGGCAGCATGTCGATATCATGTCGATATTTGGTGATATCACGTTATATTGGTTTGCCAGCGATGTACCCACCGACCCGTTTCCGCATTTCCTCAACTTGGCGGATTGGCGTGCCAGCCAAGCCACGCTGCACCGATGCGAACAAGTGATAATCTGGAGTCGCCATGTCTGATGAGTACACAGAACTTCCCAATCGAGCTGAACAACTCTTGGAACAAGTGGCCAAAAAATTGCATTTTCACTGAACTCGTGCTGGTACCTTTCAACCATTGAACTTAAAACCGACAATTGAGATATGATGGAGCAGCATCAGCCTAAGTCTCGGAACGTGCTTGTATGGGGTTTTGGCGGCAGATTTCTTCAAATAAATAACAGAAGTAATGAATTTGGAAGAAGAAGAATTTTGAGCGCTCGACGATTAGCGTCAGCGTACGCTGAATAAATCAATAACGTCAACTGGGAAACTTTTATTTTATGTAGAGACTCTGGTATTTCCCATTTGTCTGTCATTCCTACCTGTAGAGATCGTTGGTCCACATTTTTGCAGCCCCCTAATATTTGAAATAATAGTATACTTTAAGTTTAACTGTTACGTCAGATCCTCGTATTATATACGTGTTAACAGTTGATAAGTAACTAAATAAAAAATTAATTTAAGTATAAATATTTAAAAAGCGTGCTCTCTTACTTATATATATATATATATATGTATTATACAATATGTACAATAAGCTCTTTTTAATAGTTGTCTTTACGTGTTGTTGAAATGCAGTTAACACTAAAATAAAATTTACAATTTGTTATGCCCGCTACAAAGCATAATAGATTTGACAATTCTTTCTAACGTATAGGAATTTTGTTCTTAAAAGCGGAAAGACCTTGCAATATAGTGTTAGACTAGTTTTTTTCCTTTTTTTGTTCTTTATGTGGAAAAAGAGATAACTGAATAATTATATTTAAGAAGATTAACCGTATGACTAAAGTGAGGTCAAAAAATTATTAGTTAGATTAGTTGCACGAAAAATTAATTAGTTTCAAGAACAATTAATGAACGGCGTACAATATTTTATAGCAGGAAATGCATTAATAGAGACTAGCCTCGGCATAGTGATAATGATGATTGAATAGCTTTTCTTGGCAGTAAAAACATAACTTACGAGGCTACTTCAACTGAATTTCGAAGAAAACGAGCCCGTAAGTGAAAATTTAGATATGCTTCATTTAATATTACGTATTATTATCAGGTGACCACTCCATCAGATTAGTTCTCGAGAGGTTTTCTTTTCTTCTCTTTCACTCTCTCTCTCTCTCTCTCTCTCTCTCTCTCTCAAAAGAGTAATTGATGAAACAAATTGTTAAAATTTGTGTACGGTGTGATCCGCAAAGTGAATAGATCGATATTGGGATAATCTAATTGGCTCATAGTATCTTGAAGGTTTCAGTGGAGCAGTACTGGAGATACTATCTTTCTTTCTATAAGCTTTTTTTATTTTTTTTTGTGGGGAACAAAGCTCTTCGCATCGTAAAAATAGAATAAAAAAAATTTATGAAAAATATTAAAAAACGGCAACACTGGAAACATCAGGTATGGTGGTCAAGGCCACTGCTGCAAGCTTATTTCAGAGGCATACAAAGTGGTCATAGAACGAGTCACGGTTGTTTGCCGTACGACGTGTAGGCGATTCCAAGACGAGCAGGTGAAAATGCTGAGAAAGGCTTGTGGTCCTCGTAAATGGTTCAATTGGTGGATGTGTCTCTCTTATCACTGTAAAACACTTGCCTTACATCCACCTATACATAAGCTCCACCTCTCCTCTCCTCATAGAGATAAGTGAATTTATCTTTCAAGAGTGAATAGATTCATAAAATGAAATTGTTCCTAACTTGCTCGGGTGCAGTCCGTCAAGACTAAATCTCTGTTTGCCAAAGCCAAGGCTACATTTCTCTTCAGCCGGAGAATTAATGATTGATAATTAAAGATAAATTTAGCAATAAGAACTCTTTAGTGATTATTTTATTTATTCATTTATTTACATTATTCTTAAGCCAGTGAATTTTTCCTAAGAATAGGTAAATAAAATAAACACAAATTCGTAGTGCTTAGGTCAGCATGATAGTGTTTGTAAACAAGTGGAGAATAAGGACGCTTAACGTAAGGTAATTAATTGCACACGTTTCATTATATTAGGTTACTAGGAAATGCAATTCGATCAATTTAAAGTTCGTTATGTTTTCTTTTTTTAGTTTTTTTTTTTCTTTTTTGTTTTAATTTCTCTTTATGGTGTCGTGTGGCTTACTTGACACACATCAAGTGAACGCATACATGCAATTGGCACACATATGCGGTCACACTACACAATCTACTATCAACATCATAGATGATAGTTTTTTATATAATATGAGTTTTCTTCCTCTTCTTCTTCAGTAACTAACAAGATAATCAAACTGATGTTTAGATATTGTGAACTATAATAATATTTAGTGTTTGTTCATCTCGTTATTATTATTATTCGTAGGTAGTCACATAATGATTTATTAGACGTAAATGATTGAAAGTAGATTGAAAACCTGCCATAACTATCTAAGAATTCGGGTAATTATATCGGTTTGGTTTATTTTACTGTAACAATTATTCATTATTGGCTTTCTGCAGAAAGTTCGTAGTAAGAAGTAACGCCTTTATCGGCATAAATACATTTTACCTTCAGTAATGTAGGTAGAAATATCGCTGAATTGGAAGAATAGTGTTAAGACAATAATCTCTAAGGCTAACTAAGAATTATAAAAAACGTACTGAGCTGGAAGGTAATGTTAACTTATTACCTGAGCAATAAAATCGGAAGCTGCGGAAATGCACGTTTCTTCAACATTATTCCGTTTCTAATACGCCCAAAATGCGTTTGTATCCTAAGGTTACTTTTATGAAAAAAAATATGTGAATCTAAAAATTATTTGCCGTTATAATGTTATTTCAAATGTGTACTGTTAGCAGTACACGCAGTACAACAAAATATCTATTGTCTGGCATAAAGAAAAATAAGAAAAACGTATTTATTTAACATTATGAAATTTATTAGCGTGCACCAAAAACGGTACACATGGCATGGAACATCTACTCGTAAACAGTTTGATGGGAACGTATTAAGGAGCGAATTTATAGTTTTTGTGTTGCCATCATAGAAAATTGCCAAAAATGGCATACATATGAACCTACGAGAAGATTATAAGACCGCCGAACGAAAGGTAATAATCGACATGAAAAGCATGGTAATTAATATGCATACAGCACAATAGTCAAAGGCAGTTGGAGAAAAGGCATCTATCTATTACCATAAAAAGAATATTTTTTATCACTAAAGTCTATCAATCTGTGATCTCAGATGAGAAGATGGGGAAACTCTTTGATTATTTTTCAAACCAGTTCTTAATCGACTTTTCAAAACAATAATTGACCATTTATCTTCAAAACATGTAGTAGCCTTAGTCTAACTGGTGTTACCCAATCGATAAGTGTTATCCCTTTACCAAATTGCGCACAAGTTATAGCTATGACCAAAGCAAAATCTATCGTATTTGAGATTTGAACCCGTGCCTACAGCTAAACGCTGCTTTGGCAGTTACCATTTTTCCGTAGTATACTAAATAAGGCAGGCACCGCTAATGACTCTTTAATTCGATTTTCTGCGTATTTAGCAAAATAGTTGTTTGCGCCAACTGCTGGTAACTCTTTTTCTCGCGCAAAAATCTAATGTCTTCTTATATCCCTCAGCGAAGGATCACGGTTATATTCACTCTGTCAAAACGTTTGCAACGCGCACAAGAAAGCTTCAAATACCGCACAAAGTATACATATTCCTGACCAGCATCACATTCTGAAGCGATTTAAATGTGTCTATCTGTCCGTCTGTCTAATATCTGTTGCAAACATTCTCCTGGCCGTAAAAATGAAGCTATCGATTTCAAATTTAGCAGAAACATTGGAAGTTCTTTCATTCAGCTTGAGCCAAATCGTTTGAAGGACACGCCCACAGCACCATGCGAATTGAGAATACCTCCGCTTTTCAAGAATAATAAAAAAGTGGTATTTTGCTCACTCCTCATAAACTATAGCAAATAAATGTACAAAACCTTGAAAGCATATTCTATGGGCGATGCTCTGTAGCTGTAGCCGTATAAAAACGGAGAAAATTGACCGTGCCTACCCAATATTATAGTGTATTAAAATTTCATTTTTTCTTTTTCAATACCTTTACGTAACGCACAGAAAAAAACTTCAAAAACCCCCCAAAGTATATAAATTCGAAGCCAGTTTCAAATTAGGAGCGCACCTAAATATTATATCCATCCGTCTATCTGCGCAACTGTGCAGATGTTGTGGAAAATATTCTCCCATTAGCGAAAACGAAGACATCGCCTACAAGCTTGCAAACGAATTTTGAAGTGACTTTAACGTTTCAAGAAAATAGAAAAATTCAGTCACGCCTACTCCACGTTATAGAACAAGAAAAATTAAGTTCTTCAACTTTTGTCGCCTTTTTTAAAATAACGGTAATGAGTATAATGTTCTTACTTATTTTTAAACAAAATAATTAAGCGAATAATTAATTTACACACCATAATGATAATTAATTTATCCACCATAATAATAATAATTAATTTATACACCATAATAGTTGAAGAAAATTTCAGTTTTTATGTAATCAGAGTGAAAATTATTTTACTTTATTATGAAATTTTTTATATCACCTATATACAATATTGATTCACGATCTAGTGATGAAACCCCTAATAAATCAATTTACGTTTCGTACGTACGATGCTATTATTACATAACATTATATAATATTTTTTTTTACCTAATACCTGAAGGTATGTCAAAATTGCTTTTAATGAGATATGTAACGTAAGATGCGCAGTACACGTCGAAATGATCTGTTATTTTTGAAACTGAGTGAACGTGAACAACGAAGATTTGGACGACAGTTGTTTATTTAATATTTTGTTATCTCTTTTCTTAACAAAAATTATTATTTTTCAGCAAATGTTGCAAAAAACAAAATTGTTTTGCTAGAATGTCGAAGCGCCAGCTCATTTTGGAACACCCCATTTATGTGCATAGTAACTGAAATATAAAAAAATCAAAGATATATATTTGCAAAATAATGCCTTTAAATAGATTTTACACCTTAAGGTTTTTTATTAGCGAAACTTTAACAACAATTATAAATGCAAATATTTTTTATTTATTATATTATTATGAATATGAAGCAAAAAAAAAAAATAAAAAAAATAAAAATAATAATAATTGATAGTTCTATATATAATGAAAAGAGAACTTTTCAAATTTATTACTTAACTAAAAACACTTCAACTGATTAGTGAAATTTTCGTTCTTTAAAATCAAAGTAACTGGAACTTTTGCTTCCTTTTTATTTTATTATATTTTTTTTTAATAGTATGTAATCAATTTCGCTTTACATATGTAGAGATGACCAGTTTAAACATTCATACCGAACCGATGGCGATTCAAACTAACGGTAATGGCAATGGATCTATATCAACATTTAATAACAACGACGACGAGGGTTTAACTATGAAAATCCATCATTTGAATTCATTATCATCGTTGGATGCCTCAATACCGGCCTCGCCGTCGGGAAGTGCAACGTTCAAACGTAACACCAGTTACGGAAATTTAATGCCAACGGAAACGAAAGAAACACGTGTTCGTGTCATATACACCGGTGGTACGATCGGTATGATGAGAAATGAAAAAAATGGTAAATACAAAGAAAATAATAAAAGCAAAGACTTGGTTCCAAAATTAATCAACTCATGTATATATATATATATGTATAGTTTTAGCACCCATACCTAATGCGTTCTTGAAACGCATACGTAAATATCCGAACATGCACGACGAGGAGTATGCGCAAAAAAGATTTGGTCAATCGGCCGCTATGGCACCGTTGGTGTTACCGTATATTCAAGGTGAAAGTAATCGAGTAATTTATCAAATCACCGAATACACACCGCTACTTGATTCAAGCAATATGACGATGCACGATTGGGCCCGAATAGCCAAAGATATACATGTGAGTTCTATTTATGATTTTTACATTTCTATCCAATTTCATTTAAGGTGACTTTCGTACCATTGAATTGTAACTTTTACGATAGCCTAGGTTTCCTTTTAAATTTCTTAGAAGAGACCTTAGGATCTCATCCGGTCTTGCCCGGTCAAAGATGACAATTCATCTAACTTCATTGTGACGCATACATATTAATCGTTATTTTACCTGAGAAATGTTCTGCAAATGTTCTGTCCCAGGCTTTGTGTAATACGGATCCAAGGAGTGACATTTGTATATGGAGTTTTCAAATCATATAACAAATTTATCTTTGCTGATATTTAGGTTTAATTCAAAGTTATTACTTTGATCATTTACGGTTTGAAATATCGTCTGCGTCGCCGATCCTAAATATGATCTGTCAGGATAGGTGTATCGTCCCCATAACAGATGTTATTTGCGAATTGTCCATTGACCTTAATGTCTGTAGATGTTAAAAAGAAGAAGAAACCTCTGTATATGGGAATATAATTTGGTCTGATACACGGACTTCTTCTGTTTGTCTTCAATATAAATTTTTGACTCAACATATATCTGTTCCCTCAATACGAAGACCATACACTCTGTCAAATGCTTTCTTATAATCTATGAAAGAAAACAATACATATTTCTGTACATCTCTGGCAAGTCTGGCCTAGAATTTGAATGCAAAATAATGCTTCTTCGGTGCCCGTGCCTTTCCGAAGACCAAACTAAATACAGCCAAGTGATGATTCGCATTTACCATAAAGCCTAAAGTTGAACTAATCTTAGGAATATTTTCAAAACATGATTCATTAGGAAAATCATTCTATATCTAATCCTGACATCTCCTGGCACTGAGTTTAATCAATCGTCAGGACCGTGCGTCGCTTGTGTCGTAGATCTCATTAATTAATTTATGCAGTATATTTAGATTATTATAATTTAGTAGTAGTATTATAATCTCTTCGGGTTTTTTATCATTACCCACGGCCTTGGTGTCTTGTCAAGTCTACAGATCTAGAATTGTGTGAGAATCGTTAAAAAATATAATCTTCTTTATAATCGCTTTCTTTTTTCTTCGATCTCGGTAACTATTCATCAAAGGAGTTGGCGTTATTTTCCTTTGCAGATCAGAAGTTTCCTACATGCTTTCCTTCTCGTATCTTTATTCCTATTATTCATGGTATACGATTGTATCCGTTTCCGACAGTATTGCGAGATTATCTTCATGGCAAAGATAAAAAAAAATAAAAAAAATAAAAAAGATAAACCAATATACTTCAGATCGGATTAAAATTGTGAATCGAGTTATCGATGTTATTCTTTCATTTCACTCTCTTAAGACAATCTCTTCAGGTTGGCAAACGTTGACGCAAATGTTTGCTTGAAAGCTATGAATTTTAAAAGACGAATGATTTTGAAAAATTTCAACTTAAACTCGCCTCGTACACAACACCAGTTTAGGAATAAAATCTAACTTGAAAAGTAAACAAATAAAAACTTAAAAAACTCGCCAAAATCGATCATTAACTAACCACTTAATACAATTCTTTATCTATTTTGATGACAAATTACCAAGAATTGTACTTTATTGCCATGTTATGGCATTTATTTTTTTAGTCTGAGTTCAATGTTTAAGTGAACATTCTCCAAATTCAACCAAAAATTAATTTCTTTGTCAAAGATCTTAATATTTCTTATTTGCTTTCGTTATACCTCAGTAAAAGTTAGTGCTTGGTCTCATAGGTAAACTTAGTTTTCATGCGACCCCTTGCACAAGTCGCCGCTCAACAGATGGATCCATATTCATATTATTCAAATTTGGTGCAATTCATTTTTATGTTACATTACTGACTGCTACGGATAAATTTTCATCATCACTTTTTGAAGTAACTTTATAAGCAAAATAGTCGCGAAAGGTCTCCGATCCAATTCATTTGCAATGCAGAGTGCAATCTTAAGTCAAGGCCAGGCCAGGCCAAGCCAGTGCAGCAAATTTTGCCAAAATTGTGACCCGTAGGCCACAACAGATGGACAGATAGACGGATGGCCAGATGGACAGACCAATTGAAATTAATTCAGAAATCGTACAGCATAACAAACGATAGAATTACCATCAGTACTTCAAGTCGTTACACACACAATCGCTTGAACATAATATACTTTGCATCACAACTTGTGCCGGGACGAAAAAGAGTAATTCGCGGCAATTAAGAAAACTATGTAGAGAAAAAAGCAATATTTTATTTATTTTGAAAAACTGTTTATATTGCATTATAGGCTTGCTCTTCGACCGATCTAGTTCATTTTCCAATACCGATCTGCATGCAAGAACTTTCAATAGTTTTGCCATTTTTGAAGTTGACAGATTCAAGATCATATTTACAATAGATCATTTACAGAAGGACAGACAGATATGCTTAAGAATTTGACGCTTCTCAGCAATGTCTACACTTTTTTGGGGGGTCTCTGAAGCTTCCCTCTGGGCGTTGCAAACGTTTTGACAAAATGAATACACTCTTCATCCTTGGGTGATGCGTATAGAAATGTCATTATCCTATGTACCTATCAATAGCTGCAGCCTACAGCGGATATGAATCACTTTGCACGAGCATGAAAATATGCTACGAATACTCTCAGGCACTGACATGTTTGCTCTAATAATCACTTCATCGGAATTCCGCTAAGGCCGATATTCAACTTCATATTCATCTCTCCTTTATTTACTTTTCGTTGAAAAAAAACAAATCAAAATATTCTTTCTCTTCTTTTAGCAAACTTATGAATTTTTCGATGGTTTCGTCGTGCTACATGGTACCGACACGTTGTCTTATACCGCTTCGGCCTTATCGTTTATGCTAGAGAATCTTGGAAAGACCGTAATTATAACCGGTTCACAAATTCCTATCTTTGAAACCCGAACGGACGGCAAGGATAATTTTACGTCCGCTTTAATAATTGCTGGCAATTATGTCATACCTGAGGTCTGCGTCATCTTTGGAAATAAGTTAATGCGGGGTAATCGTACCGTTAAAGTTAGTTCGAACTCTTTGGATGCCTTTGATTCGCCGAATGTACCACCGTTGGCTCACATAGGCATCAACGTTGACGTTGATTATCGCTTAATATTCCGCCCGTGTAAGGTGTCACGATTCACGGTACATTCCGATTTAGATGAAAATGTCGGCATATTGCGCATATTTCCCAGTATTTCTACATTGACAGTTAAAGCATTTTTAACGTCACCAATGAAAGGCGTAGTATTGCAATCGTTTGGATCAGGTAACGTGCCGGCAAATCGTGAAGATTTATTACAAGAATTGAAAGGAGCCGCCGATCGTGGTGTCATTATTATCAATTGCACTCAATGCCCTAACGGCTCAGTGGCAGAAATTTACCAAACCGGAAAAGTTTTAGTTGATATGGGTGTATTACCTGGTTTCGATATGACGCCTGAGGCTGCTTTAACAAAACTCTCCTATGTTTTGGGTAAAAAAGAATGGTCTTTGGATATTAAGAAACAGGTTGAATTTAACAGAATATTAATGTTTTTTTGTTTTTTCTCTTAACTAAAATAAAATTTCCTTTCCCTCATCGGCAGATGATGCAATCAAACTTAAGAGGAGAATTGACGTCGAATTCCGGGCCGCAAATGGAGGAATATGATCTAGTGGATGCAGTAGCTCGTTCTTTGCACTTATCATCGCCTCAAGAATTAAGTCAATTGGGTGCTACCCTCTTCCCCGCTATGCTCAATGCGGCCGTCGTAGCCGGCGACATAGAAAAGGTTGCAAGCTTTTCAAAAATTGATGACATTTTCATATTTATTTTCGAATAATAAATTATTTTAGATAAATAATCTTAAAGCTTACGGAGCTGATCTATCTGGAGTTAATTCAGATAATCGTACAGCACTTCATTTGGCCTGCCATGAGGGAAACATGACGGTTGTGAATCATTTACTATTGAATGGCGTTTCTGTGCACATACGGGATCGTTACGAGCGTACACCTCTGTTAGAAGCGATTGCCACCGATAATCATGAAATTATTAAACTATTACGAAATTGTGGAGCGCATTTGACGGGTTCGTCACGAGCTATCGGTGAACAATTATGCGCAGCCGCAGCACGAAATTCCTTGTTGCGTTTGCAATCGTATCAATTGGCAGGAGCCGACCTTTCTCAACCGGATACCTCCCGTCGCACAGCTTTACATGTCGCCGCGGCTCACGGCCATGAAAAAATCGTCCGATATTTACTTAACTACGTAGATACAGTGAATGAACCTGATATGCTTGGTCTCAACGCCATGGATTACGCTCAACGAGCCGATCAACAGCACATTATACAATTGCTAAAAGAATGGTCTGGAGAAGGATCGGAAAAAATAAATTAAATCTAACCTAATCATCATATATATATATATATATATATACAAATATAATTTTAATTTCCTAATTTTATGTTTTGGTGTCATATTTAAGAAATATTTTTTGTAACTTTAAGAACGAAATAAATTTCCCCCTTAAACGCTAGTGCGAAAGCACCAAAAGACTTTAGTCTTCAAATTTAACTAACAACAAATGCCATTGGAAAAGCACTAGATCGGATTATTTTTATGTTATATGATACGTCTTATGTTGAAAAATCGTTTTCGATGGTCAACAGCGTGTACGTAGTAGTACTTATCGATGTGAAAAATCTGAATTGGGCAATGACCAATGTTTTAAAGCCACTCCCACATGGTCGTTTCTACGAATAATGAAACTCTATATAGCAACGAGGTCTAGTTTTTAATAACACATTTGTTGTTAAAAATTGATCTGAATTTACATCCATTCGAACTCGTTCTGTGCTTTTTATGACCTTCAAAGACTTACCTCCATTTAACATACTCTGCCCCACGAGAGATATAGGGCAGAGTAATATCGAAAAGTTGCGACTAATTATTTAAAGACATACTACATGAGAGTATAAATTTAGATAAATCAATAAATCTTGATAACGGAATTTGAAAATGTAGAATCATTTTTGTCGAATTCTAGAACATCTTCATCAGCTTTAAGTAAATATTCTTGTTATATAAAAATGAATGTTTTTCGCATTGTCAGCTATAATTTGTGGAACAACGTGGAAATTGTGGAATAACGTTGAGATTGCAATGATTTAAGGTTCATATGTCCATTCAAATATTATTGTGATCAATAGGTAATGGAATAAGTTTTCTTTGATTACCGTGATTATCTACTGAATCACAAACTTTTTTCGTCGGGTCAAATTGTTAGCAATAAGGAATACGGTTTGCAGGCGACACAGACAAAACTACTTGTTAGCACTATGAGTAGACAAGTCATTGGATGGCAATATTGCACCTTTTTGCACTATATAGCTTCTTCGAATCTTCTCGTTAAATATGCACTTATCAACCAGAAATTAATCATCCACCTTATGCACCTTGTCTTAAACTGGCCTGAATGCGTGAAATACATAAAAACACTTTAACACGGCCACATCGCTTATAGTGACCGACAAAATCGTTAAATCATTTATAACATATTTCAATGCATTTCTATAGCCCCAACAATCTATAATATAAGAGAGATTACTATAATTCTACCGTATATAGAATAAATGCCTCAATGGCTAGATGTAAATAGTTTTTTACGAGAGACAAGAAGGAGATATGAAATTTTCGACCATGATATGAAATATACGATTCGATCTTCGGGTTGAGCTCATTGTTCAAAGATTTTTTAGCTTAGAAAAAAGAAAGAAAAAAACAAAATAAATTGAATTGACTTGTTGCCACATTATTTTGTTTTCTTTTTCAAAATAAATTTCTTATCATACGGAGTTAATCCCCTCTAGCACCTTAAATTAATTTAATTTATATTAAAAAAGCGAATTTATTATATTTTCGATAGTAACGATTTTAAAGGTTAACTACAATAACAATAACGATAACAATAATAACAATAATAATATCAAGATGTGTTTCAGAATTATAATAAATAAACGAAGTCACAACAATTCTTAAACATGCAACAACAAAATACACAGGATACTACTTTTACAGAAACAAGACACATATGGTCTTTACATTTGAAATGTAAACAGTAACACGTGCAGAGCGAATGTGAACAAAATTTCGAATTTACAGAATTTGCAGCAACAACCATATACGTATATATAATATGTTGGTTGTTGATTTAAATTGTTTCATTCCATTATTCTACATCTGCTTGGTTTGTATCCGAAACGTCTCTCGGTTCGTGTCCGTGTTAAATTTTGAGGCAAAAAGCTTGTTGTTGTTGCTTTCAATGCAACAGAAAAAATGTACATAAAGTAATAAATTATTTTAAATACGTAAAAACCATAAGTATGTTTATGGCCATTGGAAGGAGATATTTATCTAATTAGGGAAAAATGCACATATTTACATTTTCCTTTTATTTGCCGAATATTGCAAAGCATTTTATGCAGACAAAGCTTTTTTTCAACATACAGCTTTCAACACATAACGATGTAAACAAACCATGTCCAACTTCAAATGATATCTATCAAAGATAATTTCAGTAAAATTCTGGTAGATCGGAGAAATGTTTTCTTCGCAATAAAAATGAATAGATGAATAATTTTATTTATTTTTTAAAAACAATTTAAATTTACTTAATTAACCAATTTAGTCGATGGGTTTACAATTCAGAGGAATTTATATTGGCAGATATATTTGAAGATAACTTGAAGTAGTTGTATACCATAGTCCATTTTCGCAATTTAATCTCAGCGAAAAGAATGCAGCAGATCTGTTAACTAATGGAAGTGCATTTAATTCTGCCAATTTAGAAACTTTATAAGATGAGGGGAACAATTTTATAAAATTCAAAGATCATATCGAAAAAACTAAACAATATAGAAAGACGAATGATTAAATTATATCGTTACCACTCTCAAGGTATTTGGACCGTTAAGTTCTATTTGATCTGAAATTTTAAAGTTCAAACATATCGTAGGGTGTTCGCAGGCAACTTTTATTAAACGCAACCATTAAAGTGGGCGTAAGAAAAGAACTTCTCTTCAGCTCGTAAAATTAGCCAAACTAAAAAATTATTAAGAGAATTATTAACATAACCATGAAGATATTTGATTGACTCTAGCATATTAATAAGCAATGGGAATTTATTTAAAGGAAAAATTTAACCCCTAACTGCAAAAGAATTATATTTAGATAATATGTCAACTTGCAAAAATGTACATGTTAGAAAAAGAATTTTGAATACTTACCTCACTCGGCAGTATTGATTGTTAGCTGGATTTAATGTAAACCACTTATGAGAGATTATAAAAAAATTTCAAATTCACATAAATGAAAACAAAGTAACAAATCAAAGTATATGAGTAAAAAATTTGAACATTTACAAGCAGGAAAAATAATCACATGTGTCACATATTATCTCTAACTGTTGTGTCAGAGGATTGACAAAAAAGATTAAACGTTTCGAGCAAAACAGTCCATGTGTATCAATTTTTGCGATTAATAGAGAATGCAAAACCGGTGGATCTTCCTTAAAGAAAAAACTTTGAAAGACAAAATATATCATTAGTGTCATCATCTAACAATCATGCTCAACAACTCACTTAACACTGCATTTGCAACGGTAATTATAGCGATTATCCATATTTAAATAAATTACTAGCTTTGATTTTTGACAAACTGGACAGATTAGTGCATTCATTTTGTCTACCTCCGTATAATAATTCTGGCTCTCTTTCTTGCTATTCTACGAACCATTCATTTATCTCTTCAATTCAGTTCACCATAAACCTCTTCCTGCAGAATTATATCAAAGTTCAATTCGCGCTTTAAATGGGATCTAGAAAGAAGTACGTAACACGTTATGACTGAAATAATATATTGATAAACGCAATTCATACGTAGGTGTACGAAATAAATATAAATGAACGGGATTAGCTCTTAAAATCCTTAAAGAATATTAATGAAAATCTTGCGGCTTACGCGACTTAACTAGAAAGCTTGACAATATGAAGAAAAAAAAAATTATTTTCGTCATCTGTCTTTGAAGCAAACTTCTGAACTACATTTCAGCTGAAGTTTATTTTTTTGAATTTCTTAAATTTTCTCTTCTATTCAGCATTCGAAACTTCAAATGTTTTCAATAAGCTTCCGATTTCAATTTCATTTGTTGCGAACGTAAATGATTAAAACGAATCAGGATCATTTTAGAAATCAAAAATAAGCAAACGGTGTGTGAATGCTGAAAAAATATATATTTTGTTTTTTGTTCATAATTCATATATTATTGCGCACTATCTTGTTTATTTTACGTTATAACATTCTGATCTGGCAATACTGATATTGCTGACATGGAAGTCAATTCGTATATTTTTCTGTAATAAGTTATGTCCGCAAGAAATTTATGGTAATTATCTCATAAAAATTGAAATATTTTACAAAAAAAACTTATGAAAAAGGTCAAAATTATTAATTGATTAAAAAAGTATTCGAAATTTTAAGCTTCGCAATTATTTCATGTGCAACAATAAATTAAAAATATTAAGTGAAAATTTTCCTACCTAAAAAACGAACACGTCAGTTTTTTTATGACATTCGTGCACAAACAAACGGGGAAACAATTGATGCTGTCACTCATGTGGTCATATTTCGTTTTTAATATTTTTTTTCTTAATATTTATATAGTTTTGCAATAAAATTAATACGTTTTCAAATTCACTCTTTTTTTTCAGTACAGGCACCATTGTTACGTTCAATAAGCGAATGCTAAATGAATTAAACATCATAATCAAACACTGCAAAAGTGACTGTTACGGAAAATATTCATTGTAGTTTAATAAAGCGCTCCAACACAAGATTTGTTGGTTAATTGTATTTCGCAAACGCGTAGTTTGGTTAGCGTAAATCGAATATGTCCTCCGAAACGAACGAACCGACAGCCGATATAAACAATTTGCAAGAAACTTTTCTTCAGCAGCAAGTAAGCATTATTAAATACATTTCAAACTAAACTTGTATAAATTAAAACGAATTTTATTGTTTTGAATCTTAGGAAAAGATTTCAGCCTTAAAAGAAATGGTACGTAAATCAGAAGTTGCCCACGGCTCGACAAAGTGTGCGACACAGGAAAAAGTTAAACATATAGCAGATCGTTTAAAAAAGTCTAAAGCACGTTCTCGACAAGGAGTAAATGTAGCAACTTATTCAACATCCGAAACTACACCGTCAAGTATTTTTGTGAACTCGCAAGATCATATGACTGCAGGTTCTCAGGTGCATTTATCTGTATCTTCACCAACTCCCATCCATTCTTCAACGCCAAATCCTACACCTTCAAGAGTACAGCCAGCTAAACAAATGTCTGTCGACTCGTCCGGTCATTCAGTTTTTAATATGCCGGGAAATGAGAAAATTTTACTTATGCGTCAACAATTGGAACAGAATAAGTTACGTATGGCTAAGAAGGCCTCAAGCAAGCAACATCTGGAGCTAATGGTAACACAATTGAAAGAAAAATTTGATTCAACCCAGCAGTGCTTGGAAAACACATTCGAATTGGGCAAATCCATGAATGATTTAAGTTCCTTATTATCATTATCTGCACCAAAGGAACGGCACAAATCCGCCACAGATTTATCTAATCAATGTTTCAGTTTAGAAAGGGAACGCATCAAATTTTTAGAAAATAGGTGTCGACTATTAGAGAAGCAATTGGAAAAAGAGAAACAAAATTATCAAAACACTGATTCGCTCAGCGTTATTAGTCATGAAATGGAAATTAAAATTAGCGAACTAGAGCAAAGTTTAGTCGAAAAACAAAATGAGAATTTCCGATTAAAACAAGAAATTGATACTAAAGAAGAAGCACTTTCCCTAGCACCGTCTGACAGCTCAGGATATACTGAATTGATTAAAGAAAATGAAAGTCTGAAAAAGAAAATATTGGAAATGCAAAATGAATTAGATAATGTCTCTCAACAAATGTTACGGTCAAACGATAATTTAAATGAACTCTACTCTTTCGATTTGGGCGCGGAAAATCAGCGTTTACGACAAGAAATATGTCAGCAACTCAAACGTATTGAAGAACAGAATGAAGTAAATGATTTATTAGAAACAGCACGGCGGGACTTAACTTCTAAAGTTATTGAGTTGGAAGAGCAAGTGAGCAAACAACGAATTGAGCTCGCCGAAGCTCATGAGAGCTTGCATTGTTATGGAAGGGAATCAGAGGGAACTGAAAATAATTTTCTGAAAAATTGTCGACCGTCAGACACGGACACACAGATTAGTGATGAAATGGCCAAGCAAATCCAAGAGCTGACAGACGAACGGAATGAAATTCTTAAGGAAAATTCTCAACTTAAAGATACATTTAATAAAAGTGTTCAACTGCAAGTTAGCGATAATTCGATAGCCGACAAAATAGCATCATTAGAATCCACAATTGAAAAACAAAATGAAGAATTACTGAATACATTGCAAACCCTTAAAAAGAATGAAGAAGAATTAATGGAGAAAAGAATTGAATTAAATGTTTTGAACGCTAATTTTAATGTATTGGAGGAGAAACTTGAAAACGTAAGCAAAACTAAACACCTTTTTTCAACTGTTAGCTGCCAGGAAATTGACAAAACCGAACTGCAGATGGAAATTCAAGAGCTAAAACAGAAACTAGATGAATCTAACAAAACTATGATAAAATTAAAATTGAAATGCAAACAGGGCGAAAAGCTAATTGAAAAACTGAAAAAAAATTCAGATCTGCATGCGGAAGTAGTGCGCTTACAGGTCGTGAGGGAGGAATTGCAACAACGCATAATTGAACTGGAAGATGAAAAAGGTCAATGGCAATTGCACGAAGTCGATAAAGATTCCAATGATTCTCGCAAACGTGGTGAACTGATTGAACATCTTGAATTAAATATTGCGGAGCTTCAAAAATCTCTTCAAGAAAAAGATTGTTTATTGGAGTCATTTAAACAAGGCGATCAGTCCCGCGTCCAGTCAGAACTTTCCGAAATTCAATTAGAAGAGCAAATAAAATCTTTGTCCGAGCAATTGAAATTTACACAAACGATGCTGGAAAGCAAAAACAAGGAAGTAGAAGAGTGCGAAAGAAAAATTATGACCTTAAATAAACAAAAAGATGAACTGGATAAAAAACTTGAACATTATTTAAATGAAAACATGGAATTGCTTGACAAGGTAGAAAAACTAAGTAAATCATCATCATCAGCGGAGTCTATAGAAATTGTTGAACGTTTGACACAGCAGGAGCAAGCAGAAATTGAAGAGTTTAACAAACGCCTGGACTCGGTACAAACTACTGAGGCGCCTTCTATAAATCTGGAGAGTATCAATGAATTGACGCAAACTGACATGAATCCAGAGTTAAGCGAAAGTTTGGTTAAATTGAAAGAGGAAAGTTCCGAGCTAATGAGCAAAATTGAACTTTTCACAAACGAGCGCAAAGAAGTGTTGGACAAAATGGAACATTTGAATTCGGAGAATCATGAACTCCAGGAACGTATCAATAAATTGACAGAAGACAAAAAAGAACTAGAGTGTAAATTAAGTTTAGCTAAGCAAACCGAAGAGGAATTGGGTAATAAAATGCAAACGCTTACACAAGAGAAAGAGACTTTGGCAGTACAAGTCGCAGAGTCGCAAAAAGCTCAACACTCTCAGGAACTTACGTCAATGCAACAATCTTCGGAGGTAGTAGCTGCACTCGACAATAGTGAAACTCTTTTTGAGAAGTGTGAAAAGTCGCTCGCAAAACTTAACTCTGAGTTAGAGGCTTATCGCAAAGCTAACGATAAAAAGTCGAAATTTAATGTCTCAAAAAAATTGGCCAAAGAAGCGGAAAACGCGCACACGCAGCTAAGTGAACTTTTACAAAAAGTGAAAGAAGCTAGTAGTGCCGTAGAAACGGTAACAGTTGTCGAAACGGTAGTCGCCGTAACAGCTCCAAACGGTAAAGCTCTTGCCGAATACGAACAGTTAACGGCACAAAATCGTGAACTTAAATCAACAATTGTAGAGTTACGAAGGCTATTGGATGAGACTCGGGAATCACAAGATCGGGACCAAATGGATGACAAAACAATTGATGAACCTGCAGCAATTCTGCCGACTATAAGCGAAGAACAGTTACAGGAAGCGTTAAATAATGTCGCAAAATATCAATCCCAATGCATCGAATTGCACGCCAAAGTGGAAGATCTTACGCGTCAGTTGGAAGAAGCTCGCACTAATGGCGAGGAAAAAACTGCTGCTATAACAGATCTCAATGAAGAACTCCAAAAGTTGCGTCAATTATCAGAGAATTTCGATTGTGTAATAAATGAGAAGGAGATGTCTTGCGAAAAGCATCTCGAACAACTAACACGTGTACGTCGTGAGTTGGAATGCAAATGTGAAACTTATGAAGGAGAAATGGAAATTCTTCGAACTTTGGTAATCGAGCAAAAGCAACAACTTATTGAGGCATACAAAGAAAATGAGCACGCAATGAACATAAAGCTCTTAGAGTTGCAGGAACGCGAGCGACACATTGAAGTTCTAAAAGCTGAAGTTGTCTCACTTAAAGAAAGTTTTTCTGAGGTTGGTTCAAAATTTAATCAGAACCTACAAAAAGATTATGAACAATTGCGAGAAACCTTAAAAATTAATAAAAATCTAGTGCAAGACCAAATTAATGAGTTGGATAACAAACAAGAGACCATTGATACGCTTAATCAGCAAATTAAGGATCTTTATAAAGCCATGGAAGATAATATAAACACGTTGACGCAGAAAGAGGAACAAATTGCCGAATTGGAAAATAAATACGAGATAAATATGCGTGATCTTGCTGAGCTCGAAAAGAAATTTCAACGGCTCGAATGCAGAAATCAAGAATTGGAAAGATTGAATAAAGATCAAAAAGATGTGCTAAACAGCCAGAAACAAGAGATGACAAAGCTACTAGCTGATAAGCAACAATTGGAAAATAGGAATTGCGAGTTAGAGCAACGTAACAGGGACCAACTGGAGAAATTAAAAAAATATGCCGCTAACCTGAAAAAGAAGATCGCACAATGTCAAGAATATGAAGCCCGACTTAAAGAATTGGAAACCACTACGAGCACTTCGCTGGATGTGCAAGATTTGCAAAATTTACGATTGCATCAAACAGAGTTAGAGCAGAAACTTGGCGATTTGCAGCATTTGATCAGTGAGAAGGAGAACAATCTGCTGGAGAAATCCGAAGAGCTGATAGACTGCAAGAAGAGTAAACAACAATTGGAGCAGGAAACGATGCAATTAAAAGTAATGCTTGCCGAAAATGAGACGTATTTAAAACAATTACAAAATGATTTGACCACAACTCAACAATTGGCAGCGGATTGGAGTGATTCTTCGGAAGTCGATCAATTGCGTAAAGAGCTTCGGTCAACTCAAGAAAATATGAAATTGAAAGTCCAAGAAATAGAAGAACTACACAAGACGGTGGCGTCTAGCAAAATGTCAACAGAAAAATTGCAAGCCGAGTTGTTGTCAGTGCAGCAAGACATTTCCAATTGGCGCCAAGAACTGTATAGTACGCAAACGCAATTGAAACTCAAAACACAGGAACTGGAATCGCGTGATAGGGCTATCGAACAGCTACAGTATGACTTGATGGCTAGTCGAGAACAAAATTCCGATTGGGGTCTGGCTAGCACTAATGAACAGCTTCGAGAAGATATGCTTTGTGCTCAAGAAAATCTACGAATGAAAGTGCAAGAAATTGAAGATCTAAGGCAATCATTAATGGCTGCTCAGGAGCAGTTATCAGACTGGGGCAGCAAGTCTTTGGTTAAAAGTGCCGATTACGAAAATTTATCCACTGTTTTGACTGATAAAACCGTTAAACTTGAAAAGGCTGAATTCAGTCTGAATGAACTCCAAAATGATTTACTTAATCTTCGCAAAAAAGACCAAGAAAGTTGTCAGCAAATAAATGAATTAACAAATATATTAGAAGAAAAAGAACGTACAATCGAAGAAGCGCGTGCAAAGGCTCCCGACGATCACTATCAATCAAACATTGATTCGTTGCAGAAGCAATTAGGCGTTCAAGAAGCAAAACTTAATGAATTAACAGAAGAACTTAAGGCCAAGTCATTAAAGTTTGAAAAATCGAAGGCCGTTATTAAAGAACGAAACGGCCAAATACAGCGATTGCAAGCTCAATTAAAAGACTTGCAAGAAAAATTATCGAGTTTGCCGGAAGAAGAAATGCTTTCGCCTACTATCCAAGCAAGATTAGATGCTGCCAGCCATTCTTCGAATCAAAACGAACTGGAAACGCTCCAGCAATCGTACAATAAGCTAAATGAAAAATATCATACAGAGAAAACGAATTTCCAAGAAACCATAACACGTTTAGAAAACCTTCATGATGGCATTCAAGCAAAGTTACAAGAAGACATGGCTTATATTGAAACGCTGGAGCAAGAAAATACAAAATTTAAAGACAAAATATGTCGTCTTGAGGAGTGTGTCGCGATCTTTGAAGAGCGGCGAGCTTCTATGGAGCGCAAAGTTAAAGTTATGGACGCCCAGATGCAACAAAACACCGAAGAGCACGCAAAAGTGGAAGATGAACTCATCTATCGTTTAAATATGTTATCTGAACACGATGACGTAATAGCTCAGCGACTTCTCGATTCGCAAACCGAAAAAGAGCTATTGGAAGAACGCGTTAGACAACTTCAGGCGGATATGAATGAATGGCAATCAAAGTATATATCCATAGATAAGGAATTCACTCATTATAAGACCTGCAGTAATGATGAATACGAGCAGGAAGTTAAAGAATTGCGTAATCAAGTAAGTCATTTAAAAAGCGATATAGAACATTTAAAATCTGAATATGAAGCTAAACTTACGGCCAAGGGCGCAGAACTAGATGACTTGGAGAGCGAACTTAGCGAACAGCTACAAGAAATGAACGCAAATAAGCGAGAATTGTCGGAGCAATTGGAACGCAAGTCAGACGAATGCAACGCGCTTAAAGATGAAATTGTGCGTCTTAACGAAACGATAAATGATTTGGAACAAGCTAAGAGCGAATTAGAAAGAGAGATTCCATGGCTTAGAATGCAAAACGACAACTCTCAACAAGATCTCTATGAATTACAGGAACTCCGCTTGCAGACTATACAGGATAAAACAGAAATTGAAAATTTACGTATTCAAATCGAAAGTCTGACCTCGAACCATGAAAATGAACTTCAGGCTCTACGCACACAAATAGCGGAATTAGATACGTTAAGAATGCAAGTTGGGCAAAATCAAACCGACGATCAAGTATTCATTGAAACGGAAAATAAACGTCTCACTGATCTGTTGGCGGAAAAAGAAGCTCTAATCGAAAACTATGAACGACATAATTCGCAATCGCAGGTAGCAACGGCCAGGACCATTTCAAACGCACCCTGTAGTACCTCTGGACAATCAGACCATTTTACTTTGACATTTGGTATACCGACGTCAAGTGTGGACGTCAGTGAAGTAGATCGTCTTGGTCAAGAATTGAGTGAAAAAAATAATCTTGTCGTTCGTCTTCAGCAAAACTTGGAGGATTTGCAAATCGAGTTCGATGAATTGCTCAATAGTCACAATGAGGTACAACGGGAGCTAAGTGAACGAGCACACGATGTAATTAATGTAGAGGCTCTGCAATCAGTAAGCAATACACTTTCGGAATCAAACGATGTTATACCAGCACCACCAATGTTCTTCACCACTGATACTTCAGTACGTTCACCTTTCGATGACATTGTACAAGCGCGCGATCAAACAGACGATATTTCCTTAGCTGAGCATCCGACGATTGAAGATCTACAACGCAATGTCTCTGATTTGGAAAAACATGCGCAAGATTTAGAACACAAATTGGTAGTGCGAAGTCAACGCGAGGGTGAGAATGAGAAACGTTTACGTGACCTAGAGAATCGTTATCAACAAAGCCAATCGGACTTGAATAAACTTAATAAAGAGAATGCGGATTTATTGCAAAAACAGTCTCAACATGCTGTTATGGAAAAGGATTTTGAAAATTTAGAAAATGAAGTACAACGGCTGCAAACACTCTTACAAAATCGCGACGAAGTGATAAGAGATATGTCTCAACAAGATAGTAATAATGATCAACTGAAGATTTCTCTAAGCAGATTGGAAGATCAAATCATCAGCGAAACTCCAATGGACCCAGCGGCACAACCAACATTGGATATGTTCTTTGGTAATTCCATGCCGGACGTTTTTGAATCGCTCGTCATGCCAACGGTAGCCACTCAACCAGTTATAGAAGAACTTATTGTACCCAAGAAAACGTATGATTGTCAACCCCGTCAAGATGTTACGCCTGCAATTGATTTGGGCATTGACTGGAGTGATGGTTGGGAAAAATGCGATGCTGAAGCCGAGGTTGAACACTTCGCCAAAATGACTACAGCACCTATGGGCACGAAGCGATCTTTGATACCTAAAGAACAACAACTTGAGTTGCAAATGCAAGAACTCAACGAACGTATACAGGAACTGCAGCTTGCCTTGGAGCGTAGTGAAGAACAAAAGAAGGAGCTTCATATTAAATCTGGTAAGCTCATGAAGAAATTAAAAGATTATAAAACAAGGATCGAAGAGCTTCAGACATCTAGTGCAGTAACATTTCGTAAATCATCTTCTGTCGAGTCGAATTCTGTATTTGGTGACTTAGATGCTGCGATACAAGACGAATTGAAGGCACAAATTAAGATTTTAGAAGAACAGCTAGAGGAGCAGCGTAGACTACAGGAGTCGCAAAATATTGAAAAAGAAAAATTATTAAAACGTATTGATGTTGTAACTGCTGGCAATGAGCGTATGTCCGAGATGAAGGAACGTCAAGATATGGAAGTTCGTATGTATCAAACTAGAATACATGAACTCCAGCAAAAACTGAATACTCTTGAAGAGTGGGGGACTGAGGCAACTATAAAGGAAGTCATACCAATAACTGCATCTGCTGTCGTCCCGGCTGATGTTAAAAACTTAGAAGAGCGTATTTCTACACTATCTTTGGAAGTTCAAGATTTAACAGGAGATCGTTTGGAATTGCAGGCTCTACTGGAAGAGGAGAAGATTAATTTAGCAAAGGCAGAAGAAACAGTAGTATCTCTACGTCAACAAATTATGTCTCTAGAGGAAGATCAAGTCGCAAATCAAAATACAGATGCCACAAAATACAACAATCTGAGACTAGAAATGCAAAATCTCCAGGAATCTTACAACAACTTATTGAACGCTCACGAAAGACTAAGCAAAGAAATGGAAGTTCAAGCAGACAGCTTAGCCCAAAGTCAAGCTAACGAAATAAAGCAAAAAGACGAAATAGAGTCTTTGTTAAGTGAGGTCGAAACTTCACGAGAAATTTTAAATAATACTAAACAGAGTCTAATTGATTTGGAGGCGGAACTGTCTGCCTTGAAAGAGCAAAAAGAAAAACAAATAGATGCTACCACTAATTTGCCCGTGACAGTAGAACTTGACTTATTGAAGAAAGAAGTTTCCACGCTACAAGACGAAAAACAAAGGCATGAGGAGGCAAATCGAAATTTACAATCTGAGATAGAAATACTGAAAGATGAAGTCCGTAGGCTGCAAATCGAGAATGAATCGTTGAAAACTTCTCTTGACATTAAGTCGCAAGCGGAAGTCGATGAAGATCTCTTGGTTCAGTTGCAGGAAAAAGACTCTGAGATAGTTCACTTAAAGCAACGTGTTAGCGATTTGATGAATGAAGATCAAACAGAAAAATTAGTATTGGAAATTCTCACCAAAAACCAAGAAATTCATATGCTGAAGATGCAAGCACAAACATTGGAAGAAGATAAACTTGAACTGATCAATAATCTTGAACTAGAGAAAAGAAAATCAACAGAAGAGACTAAGGGGCGAGACGGCGTAGAAATTCAAAAATTACAATCCCAAAACGAAGAATTATTGAATGAAAAGCAACAAATGGAAATAGAGTTGCAGGCACTTAATCAGCACGTGCTTGATAGTTTACAATTAGAGGATAAACTAAAGATGCTCACCTTAGAGTTAGATACTAAGAATATCGAGATTGCTGAGTTGCGTAAAACTATAGAAACTACAAAATTGCAAAGCAATTTGCTCCAATCTGATGCATCTACTGATTACGCAGCATTGAGTGCTCATTGGCAGACGATAGTAGATCAAAGTTGTGGTGAAATTGCCAAAATGTGGCAGGATCATTTGGCGCAGCGTGAACGCGATTTCAAGGTCACCGAGGCTCGTTTACAAGAAGAAATTGCCAGCTTAAAAAATAATCAAAACCCAGAATTGCCTGTCGGAACATCAGCGCAGGTATTGTCCGCCGAAACCACAACAACGTCTACACCTGCTTCCGAGTCCACCACTGTCTCTGGTACATCTTCAGAGGAGGCATCAAAAAATGTTTCGCCCGTGCGCATTATAACGGAAGAAAACGATACAAATACCGATGCAATTATAGAAAAGATGCAAGCAGCTCTTGAATCACAAGAACTTGAAATTGTCACCTTAAAAGAGCAATTGGCTATACGATCAGCTGAATATGCTCGTTTGGCCGCACAATATGATCCATTCAAATTGCAAAGCTCTACACCCGAAATGAAACGAAATATTGCCGATGTGGCCATGGTACCTAAATCTGAGTTAGATTTGGCTTTGTACATGTTGCACCAGCGAGATATGCGTTGCGAAGAGATGACTTTAGAATTAGTATCTCTATTAGAGGAACGTGACACTTTACAATTGAAACTTTCCAACACTTTGAGACAAATAGAAACCATAAAATCACAGTCCAACATACATAACGAAGGTAAGACGTCAATTTTTAATCTATTATCGTAGGACCAATGGCTTACGTGTATCCCTTTACTATTGTAATTCATTGATATTGTAAAATTTAGATGGACAGCAGCGAGCGACTAATACAAATTTTGAAAAAAAAAAAAAAATTGGATATAGTTGTTGTTTCTCTGATTTATTATTATGTGCAAAAGGATTCCAAAATTGAAGAAATTTCATATATTTGCTTTAAAAATTGGGCAAAATCTTTCTTCTTCAAAGATTTATAATTTTTCATTATTATTATTTCTATTTTATATATTTATATATATTTATTTTTATTTTTTTCCTTAAGCTTCGTCAGCTACAGTTGGTTCACCTGCCAATTCTCCAATGATTGATAATTTAGGCAATATCTCCATGTCTAGTTCGCCATCCATTACATGTGCGGATGATGTTGAATTAAATCAAAAGTAAGTTTTGTAGGTTTCTCATTGTAAATTTCAATATTTCAATATATGGCTTCTGTCTGCGTTAAATAAAGGCTCTCACAGTTACAAACGGTTAAGCATTCCAAAGATAAAGTGATTAGAGAGGAAAGAGAGCAGCGTATACGTCAAATGGAGAAAATCCAACAAGATGTAGCAAAAATGCCATCTGCAGCTGTATCCGAAATAATTGGCACCGACTTATGTAAGTGTTTTTAGTGGCATCTAACTCGTAAATAATTGACTATTTTGAATTGAACTTTTAGCCCAAATCAATCAATCGCCTTCCGCCGTCCTATTAAATTGGCTGTGGGGCAATAAAAGCAATAATTCTGGTGGTTTACAATCTAACTGAATGAAACTTTCATGAATTTTATAAAAAAAAAAAAAAAAAAAAGGGTTACACTTTTTTTCCAATCATATGTAAAATATCCCTATACAATGATGTACGTACTTTATTTCTTAGATTCTGTTTGAGTGTTGAATTAATCATCTCACTCATAGCTTTTCTTTTCCCATTTCTTATTATATGTGTATATATCTATGTATAGAAATATTGCAAAGCATTAATATGTTATTATCCTGGTATATGTGTCCGTTACATATTTCGATTTTTTTACAGATAAGAATTGTAAGTTTACATAAATCGTAGAAAATAACATTGAACTAAACTATAAAGGGGCGAATTAAAATGTACATGAAACGAAGGGTTATATTAATAAATCAACGTTGGTAATAATACTTTAATTCTTATGTTATTGTGCGTTACGTGGATAATGTCAGATTAAGTTCTTATAAAGTTGGTTACTATGAAAAAATTCTTATTATTAAAAAAATGATATTTTTTACTTTCATAAAATATTCATAAGGAGATCAGAAGAAGCTATAGAAAAAAAAAAAAAAAAATCTCATAAAATATGTAAACACATATTGGACAAAATTGATTTTAGAGTAGAAAGAAGAGAATCTTAGTATGTATATGATGAAGTATTTAGAAATGATTATAATTATTTCGTATTTTTGCTATAAACGTCAGATTAACGAACTGGAAAAGCAGAAAAACAAACCGAATTCGTGTAGTTATCACTTCAAGGGAATAAATGTAGAAGAAAGGGTTCAAAGGCATAAATTACAACACTGGGTACAACAAACAGCCAATCTGTAACTATCGATTACATTGTGAAAGATGAAGGGAAGAAATTATCCAGAATTCACGTCAAAAACACTTTGCTACCTTTCATTGTTAAGAATTTAGTAAAAAGTTATATATCATACGATCATCGACTTGAATGCAAACTCACTTTCAGTTGGTTACAATTTGAGTAAATCTTTGTATTTGCATTTCACTCACGAAAGTGCCCTTAAAGTGAAGGAGCATTAATTATATAACTATTCCGTTAGAGCACATGTTACGAAATTTTTCTTTTCGTTAATTTAATTAAAGCATTGCTTGCTATACTTCATTCAACAAATGAACTAAACACTCGGGATAAGAAATCGAAAGACTGTTCAAAACGAAGAAAAATCAAAGTTCGTATAGTCTATGAAAAGTTATCCTCCTTTGATTTAAAGTTCGATAAAATAAACATTGTATTGTATTGTAATCGAATTCAAAGAAGCTTTTTTAATTCTAACCCTACGTTATATATACTAAGACTGTGTCGAACTTTATTAAAAATTCACTATACTTGTCTGCTTCTTTACTTATAATTGTAATTAATTTTTCCTTCTTCTGATTCATTCTTCTTCTTAATCGATTTATGGATATGTGCCCATAAATATGTATATATATGAGGTGTGTTCAAAAAATAGATGACTTTTCAAATTTCGTGGGCTACGTGTTTTTGATTATCACTGTTTTTTTTTTCTGTTAATACACATGTCCTCAACATATCGAAGAATCCGTGCTCCAATGTTGACTACTGTAGCGCATTGGGCGAGTTTACTTTGAGCAAAAAAAAAAAAAAACAAAAAACGAAATGTTGGTACAAGCTCTTCACAGAAGACAGAGAAGTTGTTAATGACGATGCCCTTCGTGGACGCCCCAGCACGTCAACAAGCGATGAAAATGTTGAGACAGTGAAGAAAATTGTTGTGGAGAAGTGTCGAATCACTTCAAGAGAAACTGTTGGACACGTCGATATATCGTTTGGCTCATGTCATCCCACGTTTTTCGGATGTTTTAGCTTAAAATATGTGATAGCGAAGTTTATTCCGAAATTGCTCAATTTCGAATTTTCTTGTTCGTTATTTTTTTGGCCAAAAACAATACCGTAATCATGCCTCAGCCAGCATATTTACCGGCCTTGACCGGACGCTCGCAACTATTTTCTCAATCCAAAAGTGAAACAACCAATGAAAGAATGGAGCTCTGTCATGATCAAATAGATAAAGACCTCATCGTTGGAGAACTTAAGCGTCATATAAATAAACACATATGAGTAGTGCTTCGAGGATTGGAAAAAATGCTGGCACAAGTATATTTCATTAAAGCGGTATTAAAATAGATATTGATATTGAGAGGCCATAATTACATATTTATCGGGCAAAATAAAATATCACTTTGTTTTTTTCAACACACCTTGTATATACATTGTGTAAGAGAGCTCTAAGATTCACCTTAAATAAAACAGTTTGGTGTATGTATGGTATGCGATTTTCTCTTCCTTCTTATTCCAAACGTAATAAGATGTTTAGAGCGGTAAACAAGGAATAGTGAGAACGAGTAGACACAAACCAATCAAATTCGACTCGATTGCAATTATTTGCTTTAATTGTAATAATGTGACTCGGAACAATCGTCAATACTTTTCATTAAACGATAATAATTAAGTTTGCAGTTTGTATTATTTCTACCTTTAATTTCGCAATAATGAAGAACGTATTTTTATTAATTTATTAAATAAATCTATTTAATTAATGCGTTCGTTGAATTAATATAACGCCTATGCTATCGTTATTTGTAATAAATTCGCTATTTGAACATAAAAAACGATAGCCATAATATGTAAAAAAAAAAATAAAGTAAACGAAATTTTTAATATTTGACTTTTTTTTTTTTATATATAGTCTTTTGCCTTTAGTTTTTCAGTTAAAGCTCCCACAAGAGCTATATGTTTGTAGTTTCGAAATTGATAAATAAATTTATAACAAACATATCCAGGAATCAATTTCTAAACATTGCTTATGAGATAGTTTCTCACTAATTATAACCTTATAGTATAAAATATATATTAAGCCACAGAGAAGTTGTATTTATTTAATTTCTAATTTAAGTTTAACTCGTAATTATAATTTGTTTTTGTGTTAATTGTTATTTATTATGTTTTAAGATATATTTTCAAAAGTTTCTGCCTTTCCTCTGCACCCATGTGTCGTCTTTTTCACGCTTGTGTGTGTTCTAAGTGCCATCCATATTTTTTTGTGTTTGCATAGCTTCGTTGACCATTATATGCTATTAACCTGTTATAATTTTTGTTACCATTGTATAATCCTCGAGATCCTTTAATCTATATTCCTACAATCCATAAACTAATCCTTGAAAGGTCTTTTATGGTGGCAATGACTCGCTTTAGGAACTGCCTACACTTGGAATTCCGCATCTTCTCGTTTCTAAAAATCGTCTTACATAGACGTGTATAAGTTGCTTAAACCTTAAAGTCCATTCCTTAGTTTCATTCACTTATAGTATATTTGACTGGAGAGCCGATTGACCATATTGGTAGGTATGACCCCAATTATCTATTAATATCGAAAATAAATCCATATGGAATGTTGTAAGCTTAAGCGTTTTAACACGCTTGCGGTCAATAAGAATGTCAGCGAGGTACAAGAAGTGACAGTTAATTTTTTTTATATATATATCCGGAATCTGATTGAATACATTTTCTAAGCGTAGTTAGAAGATCGTATTTTAATCGATATATGCAACGAACGATACAGCATTCGCAACAGTATAAAACAAATCTTTTTACCTGGGATTGACGTGAATATTGTTCACATGCGCACACATATATATGCTTAGGTGTATTCCAAATTTGACAGTGGCCAAGAATTTAAATACTTTATGGAGTGTTTGAAGCTTATTTTTGCGTGTTATGAAATTGAATTGAAATTGAAAAAAAAAAAAAAGTTTTTAACGGACTATAATATTGGATGGGCGTGATCATTTTTTTCCATTTTCATGAAGCTTATAGAATGCGCGTGCAAATTTTTGTACATTTATTTGCTATAGTTTATTTATAGTAATGAGTACAAAGTCAATTTTTTATTCCTTTTGTTAAACAGACGTGATCTCGGTCTACGTAGTTCTGTGGGCGTGTCTTTTGATTGATTTGGCTCAACGTGCGTGCAAGAACTTGCAATGTTTTTGCCAAATTTAAAGTCGGTAGCTTCATTTTGGCATAACACAGACGGACAGATGGACATGCTTAAACCGATTGATAGAATTTGATGCCGATCCAGAATATATATACTTTGTGGGGTTTCTGATGTTTTCTTCTGGGCGTTATAAACTTGTTGACAAAATGAATATACCCATCGTCCTGCGATGACGGGCATAAAAAGCTGAAGAATCGGTTAATCAATACTTTGGCAAGTGTAATAATTAAAGAACCCCCGGTTTACATAAAGTTAAATGAAAAATAATTTGCATCATAATGAAAATGAATGCCATAGCATTCATGTCAGCGAACGTGTTAAAAAGTAATATTCAGGATTGTTACACCATCTGGTACATGGGGTACATGTATATTGTTTTGACTCTAATGGATTTGTACTGTATTGTGCTACAAAGCTTAATAATCGAAATATGTGTCATCGTTAATTGCTAGCCTAAGCTGAAAATTATTTCCTGGGTCGCTTTTACAGGAGACAGACAGGACCTATGCGAACATTCACCGTTTTCGAGAGTAATATGTTGTGCACAAATACTCACGCAAACCAGTTTTTAACTGTTTCGTAGCATTTCCGGACCTTCAGCTGCATTTTCTTTCCAGCTCAACCCAATTAAAATCAAGGAAAGATGCAATGCCGTAAATGGTAGGTAACATTCTAAATTTTCGACACATTGTAAACAACTGAAACTTACATATATAGCATATATAGCATATATATCCAAGTTATCTATACTTGAAATTTCGGGCAATTTGAACGCGACAGATACGCTTGATGAAGCAATCAATTTCACCGGAAGGCATTTATGTGTACAAAACAACATTTTCAGTTACTGAATAGCGGAATTCAAGGACGCGAAAATTAAAAATTTTGAAAACGAACGAAATGGGTTAGTAAGAAGATATGACCGGGAAATGAATCAAAAAGCGATAAACTCTATTATAAAAACAAGCTTTTTATAGTATCCTGAGCAATTATCCGTTACGTTTGTATGTTCAATGCATTACTTGCTAAAGTGCTGTCTTTGGGCTCGGAAGCTATGGATGGAAGCTTAAGAACATCGTTGCAATGCTGTAGCTAGTGGCGCTCTTTCTTTTTTAGATAGACAAACGAGAAGATAATAATACTATATTGTAATAAGTCAAGATCTATATGTTACAGGTGCAATGTGTAAACAATTTTGTTTCTTACTTAACACTGACACTACCGACTAGGTCAATTGTTGTTCACTTTAATGCTCGAGCTTTGAGAAAATATTTATGTAATTTTCAAAAAATTTCATTTATATGAAAAAGACCTTGTAAATAGCTATACTAGATTGTTTTTTTAACTATTCCGCTCTTCGAGATGTCAACGACATGAATATCTTTACCAAATTGAGTCAATTTGATCCCTTTTTGTTTTGTTAAATTGCCATAATTGCCATAAAAGTTGAGATTCCAAGTTGCAACTTGGCATGTGGCCAGTCGCCTTCACTTACGACAACAACGATTCAAAACCGAACGTTATTAGTTAACAAGCATGCCCTGAATAAGATTATCTAAAGTTCAAGTCGCTTATCTACCTCTACATAATTATTCAAATTCGAGTCTCATGCCTTTTAATTGAAAGACTGCAGATTTCCAGAACGAATGTTTTTCTAATCGCAAACGATGTTTTACTGTTCGTGTTGCTAGATGTTGGACTGCCTAACCACTGAGTCTGAAATCCTTTGAAGGTTCTTTGAATACATTTAGAAGAAAATTGACCGCACTACTAAATTCATAATCACTGTTTTTTTTTTTTCGGTAGGAATTGATGGTCACGGAGTTAATGGAGCAAGATGACTACATTAGCAGCCATGCTAGCTGATTTGTATATTTACCGATGTCATAGTTGATTTTTGCACATGAAATGCATCTTTGTAAAAAGTTAATAGGCCTATGGCTGTTTAGTCACTTAATGAATGAATAAATGAAGTGAAATGAAAGTCAATTGGCTAAGGAAAAAACATATTTTCAATTTCGAAAACATAAAACAAAAACAGAAAGCTGTACATATATAGTTGATACACCGTTTTTGGATGAAATTAGAAGGCTAATATTTTCTTGGATCACCTTTAGGCATCTAGTAGCACTTGCGTACATACGTTTTGGCATCAAAGAAACGAATTTTTTTATTACAACTACATCAATTTTAATCCATTCCCCAATGAAAGTTTCCTTAGGTCCTTCCATGTTTTCAAGTTCGGCTTTCCAATTCATGTCATATACGTTTTGGGGACATTGGAAAACAGCCATTCCTTTACAATGAGAGATGTATGTTTCGAAACGTTATCTTGCTGGAAGGTGCATTTAGACGAGAGACCCATTTCAGTTGCGGGTGTCTTTAAATTTGGCTTTCAAAAGATCGAGCTGAACATGACGATTCACTTTAGTGCCAAAAAAGATCAGTGGTTTCCTACTGCATAGACCATAGACTCTCTCTCCACCCTCCTTTACAGTTTACAGTAAAATTTTGGATTGCATTCGACGCTTTAGGTTTCCGCATTTATTACACTTACGACAATATTTCTTTTTCCATATTCTATAAGTTTGTTTGATCCGTCTGATCGGTGCTTATTTTCCCCGATATTTATGCTATTGTAATTTTCTGTAATAGCTTGGACGACTAATTTCAATTGTTTTTCACATTTCTCCGTACAATTTTTCCCCACTTCTTCAGTTGTTATAATCACTTTCCTAATCTCTTGAGAAATTGAGATTTTAGGGAAAAGATGTCAAGAATATCCTTTTAATTGATAAATTATTATTTGAATCTACGAAAGCATGTACAAAATCTAGGTACCGTTAATTAAAGATGTTTTTTTTTTTTTTTCGATGCTTCCAGTGATGTCTTTTCGCTGTATGTGCACTCCTTTTTTTATGATAGCTTGTTGAGATTGGAGTACATTTTGTGGTTTTAACTTTGTCCCAAGTCAAATAAAAATTTGAAAGAAATGTACTTTTTGAGTCCCAACGAGTAAATGCAAATATTAATGAGAGAAATCTTCAATTTAGCCCACTGTCTGTAGACTTTATTGCTTTACTGTAATTACAAGGCTCATATTGTCCAGATGTACATTACACTAATAATAAACACTTGGCATGTAAATATTTCGTTCATTTGTTGCAAACATGAAACGCTCTATAGAGTTATTTTTACTCTTTTCGAAGGATCAATTGAAATTGGTTTGAATTCTTTCTTGTTTGCATTCTTAGCAAGGAGTTGACCTTTGTCCTATAACGCTATACTCGCCAGTCAAGTTCTTAAGCCAATTGGAAAAATTGGCAATAAATTAGAAAATGAATTTTTTTATAAATAGATCCTTCGAAATCATGCTTAACTGAACTTGTATGTAGGTGGTGCTGATGAGTATTTGATTTATAGAAGAAAATAAGAAAAAATTGTTGATATCGCCCTTCGGTTACGGGTGTATTCATTTTTGTCAAAACGTTTGCAACGCCCAGAAAAAAATATCATAATATATATCAGAAGTATATATATTCTTGATCAGCATCACATTCTAAATTGATTTAAGCATGTGCGTCTGTCCGCCTTAAAAATTTTTCCAAGGATACGACTACACCGCCCACACGGCTGCACTGAAGAAACTTTTATTTTGAAAATAGACAAAAATCAGACATGCTCACTTCATATTACAGAGCATGAAAATTTTGTTTTTTTCCCCTTTTTTTTTCTCTTTGACGTTAAGACGATGATGGGCATAAAAGATGCGGCCACTACCGAATTTAATTTCCTTAGTTGTTTTTTTTAGGAGTTTGTTTTAATTTCTTATCTACTTTGAGCGTGCTTATATGCAAATTAAATTCAATTTTTAACTTTGCTTTCTTAATCGGATGGAATATATGCGACAAATGCCAAATTTCAACTTGCTCTCCTACATTTTGCGACTGTGGCAATTCCATAAAAAAGTGAATCAAATTGATTCATTCGGCTATATGTAGATCATATATACAAAACGTCGATGGTTAATAGATATGCGAAACGCAGTTTCAGAATCTATCGTTTTGATTAACTATGACGTTGTGCGTAAAGACATTTTAACGACGTTTCATTTCACTAAACATGAGTGACTACGTTTTAAACTTTATTAAGCCCTATTTAATGTTTCTCAATAAAAATTCTGAAGATCGCCACAAGTATTTACTAAAAATATGCACAAAAAGATCGTTTTTTTTTTTTATTTTTTAAATCGTGCGATTATTGATGTTTTAAAATCACATAGCCAGCATTTTCGATATTGAAAGACGTTTCTAAGCAAAAACGATCATTTACGAGTTTACTTGCTTTTTGCATTTTCAAAGCGATTTCATTAGAGTTACCTGCGTTATTACAATTGCAGTATTTTCGTTGTAATAACGCAACTATATGTAAAAGTTTAGGTCATCCTGAAACAGTTATTTTTTTTTTTTTTTGTTTGAATAAATGAAGATATTTTATAAAATAAAAAAAATAAAAAATAGATAAATAAAACAAATTGCTTCTCTTTGATAATAGGTAAAAATGCCAGATTTTTTACTATATATATTTCAAAGATGCGATATACCCTCTACGACTTTCCCATCCTTGTCGTGTCAAAGAAAGTTAATTGTATAACTGTCGTCGAGTGCTGGACGCGAAAATGTGAAATGAAAAGCCATTCGAAAGGCATAGAATATATTTACCAAGCATATGTAAACATTTTTTAGACTCAAGTGTCTTCTCTTAATAAATTTATATTCCAAGAAATAAAATATATATCTACACGAGTAACATTATGCCTGCAGTCACACTTTGGCATATATGTTTTTAATTACTTGGGTGCATTCTAACGATTTTTCTAAAAAATGCTTTTCCAATTATCAATATGCTTTGATATATAAAGATGTATTGAATATGTTTAAATTAAAGGCAACGGATAAAGGAGAACAATGAAGTCAACAAGTTGCTATCTTATTACAATGATAATTGTGGATTATGTTCTAATTGAAAATAAGAAAAATAGAAAAAGAATTAATTTAACGTAGAAAGATTAAGCAGTTGATTGCAGTAATTTGCAGCAACATATCGCTTTAAAGTATGTGTATAGAGAATCGAAATTCTTATTCACGGCAACGCTGATTTCAAATTGATATTTTGGTTCTGTTTCTGTTCAACTGTGTAGCCAGCAAGACAAGACTACTCTGTGCGCAAGTTGGTTGTTTTCAAGTGAAGTGCCAGTTGATGGTGAATTATTTGAGTATATAAAAGAGAAAAATAAAAAAAAAAAAGAAAAGCAATAATATAAATAAGAAAAAGAATAACGAACGAATAGAAAACAAAACCAATGATCACGATCACCTACACGACGGACAAAACAACCCGGCATATTTGGCAGCGTTAATTAAACGTGGTTAAACATAAACGAAGAAACAAAAACAAATAGCACGACTCTCTCTATCCGAAGAGCAAAAAAGTAGAGGAATTTCATTCGTTTGACTGTGAAATAATAGCGTAGTGAATAGTGAGTGAGATTCGTGAGTAGTGTAAGAAGCAATTCGCCTTTCTCTCTCTCTCATTCTTTCTCTTTTCCCTCTTTCTCACTCTCTCTTTCTCTCTCTTTCTCTAACGCGTGCACACACACGCAATCATACGCACACAATTGTCATATAAATCAGGTTATTAACTTGGAGTCCACAAAACAATACAACAGACACCACTGCACCATCAGCAGCAAAGTCTAACGTAACGCAAAGTCACAGTTTCTGATGAACAGTCAGCACAGTCAGCAAATAAGTAAATCAAGTGCCTAGTGTAACGGATATACACTCTTCTTTTCCTTTTTTTTTTTTTTTTAAAACTAATCATTGAATTATTTTGACAAGTAATAAAAACAACAACAATTATTGATCAAATTTTTCATCTATAACATAATAATACGTATATATATACATATATATATACATATATATATATTCAAGGTAACATTATTATCGTGTTAGAGAATATAATTAACAGACAAATATATTTGACTCAACGTTCAATATATCAATAAATCAATCATTAGAAATGTGTACGATTGCGAGAGGTGTTAACATTGTTGTTTAGAAATTATACCAAAAAGAAAGAAACAAAACAGCAAAATTATTTTAAAAGTATTCAACACAGCTGATTGTAAGAAATTCACTAACATCGAGATCTATGCCGAGATATAATCGCAATAATAAGAATAACAATAGTAATAAATAAAACAATAAAAAAGATAATTCTAATAAAACGCATAAAGTTTACACAGATGACATATAGTGTCGTTTCTCCCCTCCTATACCGGACTTGATCTCTCTACAGAGCTAATTGTTGTGCGTACGGTTTCCTGTTCGTCGAGCCTAAAGTGTACATGTGTATGAGCGTATATATATATATATATAAATATACGTATGTATATAGATATATATATATATGTATATGTATATATCAATATACATATATACATACATATATGTAGTGTGTGTTTGTGTTATTCAATTGAAAACAAAAACTGAAAATTGCCAAAAAAGTGATCTTTTTCGACTTTTTCTTCGATATCGTTCTTGTTTTTCTTTGTTTCTGCTTCTTGTTCGCAAAGTTAAAAATACGTATAAAAACCAAAAAAACTTCACCCTAAAATAATGCTGGTTTGAATACGCCGTAAAGCATAAGAAATTTATTATATTTGTGAAAATTGATTGATTGCTGCCATTAGAAAAGCAGCCAGAATTATTATTATTAACTAATTCGCATTGTATTTATTGTCTTTTTTTTTTTTTTTTTTTTTTTTTTTTTTTTTTTTTTTTTTTTTTTTGTTATTACTTTGTCTTGTGTGAAATCCAAATACAATATATCGTCAGAGAATAAACAATTGATCGTGTCTAACCTTAAGCAAAAAGCAAAAAAAAGCTAGAGAGGCAAAATAAAAGGATAGATAAGTTAATTTATATCCGTGCGCTCAGCTGTGTTTATTTGGAGCCAGCAACATGGACCTATTGTGTACCGAAAATATTATGAACGATTATGAAAGTGATTTACAACAGCAAAAGCAAACGTTAATGAAATGCCATGAGACTACAACGTCATCGCCACCTTCTCTTTACTCGAGCAGCTCTTCTTTGTCATCAACGAATTGCTGCACATCCAGTGGCAGCAGTAATTCATCTTCCGGTTATAATTCAAGTGGCAGCAACAATTGTAATAGCATCAATGTCAATGCTAAAAATTTGCATACGTCTGCCACTACCATAACAGAAAAGAGCATTTCACCAGTTAATTATCAAAAACAACAGCCATCATCTAGTTGCTATACAACAACAACAACAACAACAACAACAGCGGCAACCGCGAATAATGTTTATACTAATAATCTTATTAATCGTTCGTTGGATTATGTGAATACGGCCACGGAGGATCCAACATTTCTTACTGATCGTTGCCTCGAAAATGCTCTTAAGGCTGAAGAGAAACGGCCACAACCATTGTGTACATATTTTAAGACCGTGCAAAAAGATATAACGCCTCCTATGCGTAAAATTGTTGCTGAATGGATGATGGAGGTGAGTTAGTTTCCTTTGCCTTTTTTCATATTCTTTTGTTTTGTATTGTTTTGTTTTGTTTTACTTTATTTTATAATCATTTTTGTCATCTCTCAAAAATCACTCCGAACCTTGTACCTTATCAGTAAGACAAACTGCTGCACTTTACTTTCAATCATTGATTTTTAACCATCAATCAGCGCACAACAAACAATGTGTGTTTGTGACTGACTACTATTCTTAATAAAATAAAAAATAAATTATCTATATATTGTATTAACCTCATTCAATGCTGCCGTGTTGCGTAGCTAGCTATCGCTTTTGAAGCCTTTTAATTACTGGCTATATGCGGTTTTTTCACCTTAAATTTATATATAAATGTTAGGGGGCGGGTGAGTTTATAGGTCCGCGTGCTCGGGTATGTACATGTGTGTGTGTGTGTGTGTGTGTGTGTGTTTATTTGTTTGTTGTTAGATGCATTCAGGTTTAGGAATGACTGATTGACTGACTGACTGACTGACTAAGTATACATTAAAGGGAAAAATCATATGCTTATCTCCTCTTCAATAATTTTAAAGCGGCGTCTATCAGTTATAGTTGCTTTGTTATTGTTTTTGATCTTTGCAATTATAACCGGTCATAAGTGTCTTAAACAATAACAAGACATGAGTATCGAACACATTAGTTATTATACATTTTCACGGTATCATTAACATTTATTACCATATTTCGAGTAAACTAATTAAATTAAATTAAAATTTTTTTTCGATTTAAAAGGTTTTCGTCTCCAATTAGGTACGTGTAAGTCTTGCTTTCGAATAGATTTGCTTTTTTTTTTTTTTTTTTTTTTTTTTGCGTTTGTCGTAATGTAGTTATAAATCTTTAGCGATAATAGATTGTTATAATTTTTGTTTTACATTAATTTATTATATATTTTATTATAGTTGTAAAACAAAACGTTGCTCATAATTTATTGATCATAAGTTTTGGAATGTTTCTCTTGTTACGGTTTACTGCTTTATATTTAGAATATTTGCGAAATATGTATGTGTATGTTCAATAAGTGCTCATTGTTAAAATATTGTTAGTAGACTTCATTGTAATATTACCATCACTTTTATAGCAACTAATACCTTTTGTTTTTGTTTTATCATATTTTTTGTTGACTTGTAATCTTATCATATATATAGCTCTATATATCTATATATATATATATATATATATATCATATATGCATATATATGTATATAAGATGATTCTCTGTGCGCTGCTGTTAACCTCTTTATAAGAAGTTGAATGCATTTTATTATTTCTCTTTTAATTACAAGTTCCCCCTCTCTCCGTCCTTTCAGGCACAAACGTTCGCTCGTAGTCTCATTCACTTAAGAGTATTCGTAATTATTAAAATAATTTATGGTTTATTCTCTAGAGCCGTAAAGAGTGTTTATTAAAATATTGTTTGATAATCTCTGTCATATATGTATGTTTAGTGCCTTTGTTAGTTTTGTGTGTAATTGTTTATCGCAATGAAATGTTTCTTTTATCATATATATATGTAGATGTGTATTTGGCTTTTTTTTTGGCATTCCTCTCCCATTAAGGCATAATTATTGTATAGAATTTCTAATCTTATCACATATATATGCATATATATATATAAATACATACACACAATAATATCACTTTCTTAACTTGTGACAATAAATAACTTCACACACCACTCGACTTAATTTCAATCTCACTAAAAGGCATACTAGTGTACATACACACATATTGATATATACCTAAATGTATAGATATATATATATATATATATATATATATATATATAAATATCTAGAGAGTTCTCAACATTTCCTTTCTGTACTGTCGATTTTCTAGTTTTCTCTTCTGCTACGGCAGTCTGTGCTAATGTGGATTGCCTGCCTCTATATGAACTGTTTCTCTCGTTACGGTATATTAAATGTATCTTACTGTTAGTAACACATAGAAAAATTAATGAAAGGTCTCATCTTTTATATATGAAGGACGTTAGAAAAGGAAAATGTTTTTTTTTTTCCGAAGGCTCAATAGTTTTTCGATTTCGAATTTCCGCTAATCCTTCGGTAAACTCTCTCATAAACACATAGTGCCTTGAAATTGTGTGTATAATATATATATTTCTGTCCTTCTCTCTCTCTCTCTCTCTCTCTCTCTCTCTCTCTCTCCAACTATCTATCTGTCTATTTCTTCTGATTATTGTCATTAATCTCATTATTAGTGCTTTGCATTTTTTCTTGTTCTTGCGAATCATAAAACACACACACACACACAAACTATTCGTTTTTAGTATATTTCTAGAAATATGTCGCCAGCTGTGTCCGTCTGTTTGCCGATGCAGACAAATTTGTAAAAATTGATTCAGATTTTAATTACGTTGCAGGTAATGATTGTCCAGAATTCAAGTCTAAAAAGCAATTAGGAACAGTTTACTCTAAGCTATAACGAAATATTAGAAATATTTTAGTACAGAAGTTCATAAATGCTCTATGTTCCTGAAAATGTTCCAATTGATCGTTTACCGTTTCCCTTAAGACCTTTGCAGATTTTCCTATCATTTTTCTCAAATCCATGTTCTAAGTAATAAATAGTTCCCTTAAGCCCGTTCCCCAACTTAACTTTAAACTTTTTGTCGCATGTTTCGCTATGTTTTTTGCGGTAATCAGATGTGAAAGATATGCAACATAAATTCATGGCGCAAAAGGCGAATAGTTCTCGATAGACTCTCGTGAGAGACGAGAATTTCTTATATACTTCTTGCACATCGGCATCTTATTAGCAAAAAATTACTATATGAAGTACACGCGGTTGAATGAATTTTTTTCACAAGACATCCAACTTTTCAATAAACTCAGACAATTTTACTGGAAACGTCAGTTGTCATCAGTGCACTTAGAGTTTCCATTAATACCTGTTAGCACGAGTAGGATTATATACAAAGAATTGAATGCATGATCAGACGTTGCATGTTACGCTGACAAACAATGCTTTTGATTTATTTTTTTGTTTCTCCTTCACATTACTTGCGATATTTCATTTTTGCCAACCTAATAGTCTTTTTTGCTTATTATGTAATTTAGTGTATATGTATTTGTTATAAACTCTTTAAACATGTATTTGTGTTTTATATGAGTCCTAATTTTGATTTCATTATTTTATTTTTATCAACAAATACACGCACATGCGTATAAACACTCATACCAGTATACTAAAATGAAAGTGTTTTCTTTTTGACAAAAAAACAAAAAAAAAAAATAAATAAAAAAATAATGGCAAAGTTCCAATCGCATACGGAAATCCTCACTATATAACATACATGTTCGGTACGATTGAATATATATATATATATACACATATAGTTGAGGCATACAAATATGTGTTCGTGAGTTTCATATGTCTGTTTGACTGTCTACACACGGACAATTTAGAAATTATCAATTATTTACATCTCAGGGTTATTGATATAATCCATTGAACTGATTGTATTAAAGGGTGACATTAATTTTTTTTTTTGCTTTCGAGCATAGAAGTAAAACTTCTTTTTCGTATGAGTAAGAAGTTGTTTTTTATTCTTATAAATCATACAAAATGAACAAGAAATTATTTGGGGGAAAACAATATTGATTTTCGCCAGTAAGGATAGCAATCTTTTAGTTAAGCTCTACAGAATGAGAATAAAAATTTATTAACATTTATTGATTTTCAAATTATCATACCTGTCTATCTTCTTCTTAGTCTTCCGTTGAAGTAATTCCCAGTCAATGCTGAAAGTTAATCCATATAAACCCATCATAACTCAACCAACATAACCCATCTTTCCAATAGTGTTTGGCCAAAACATGTCCGCGTAACAAATTTTACACCGATATCTGAAGACTGAACTAAAGAAAACAAGATGGACAGACGGACAGAAAATCTTAGAACACTATCGTACCAAATTTCATCAAAATATTTGAAAATCGCGATCTGTAGTTTAAACATTTTAAAATGAAGCCGGACAGATAGACAGACAAGTTTATAAAAGATAGGCATATCTCAGGTTTGTCTAGGGCGTTGTGTACAGCCATAGAAACTTAATATGACCTTGGTGTGGTCTATTGAGGCAATTTAGATTTTATTAACAATCGGTAAAGCAAAACGGATAACGAACAATTCGGCTCCATTTAGTTTCTGGGGTGTTCTTACGAGATCAGGCTGACGCATTTAAAACATATCAACGAGAAATTTGATATTCCGCCTATGCAAGACTTGCCGTAAGATCTTTCACATAGAAGTCTTTTAAATTTTTACGAGAAAAGACTGAGACTGGATTTTTCTCTAAAAATAAATTTCACTTTCTCTCCAAGTGAAGAGTATCGTAAGCAGCAGTCTAAAGCGTAAAATATTTTAAAAGCTTTATATTGAAACGGAAACCATAGTTAAGTCAGTTTTCCTTTTATTTATTTATTTTTTTTTTTTGTAAAGTGGTTCTCGAAGAAATAGCGAAATTAAAAACTGAGGCAGGGAATCAAGATAAAGAAGTTAAAGAAAGAGATAGAGAGAGATTCAAAGACGACTTCTTTAAAATATGAAACGGTACATATGATGTTAGTTCCCTTTGGCGGATCGGCTTTGTTTTTTGTTTTTTTTTTTTTTTTGTTAAGCTGAAACATCTTAAGAAATTTTGCACGAGGTATAATTTTTAGTTCGACTAGTGAGTTGCATAATAATTCACCGCGAGAGTAAATTGTATTAAGCGTAATGGAATTGAAAGTCAATAAACTCATTGAAATTGAAAAATCTTTCACCAACAGTGACATCATCGGAAAATGGGCAAGACTCTGAAGGCATATTTCAATTGTTAAAAAAACAACACACGCACATATCCCCATACATATGACGGCAGGATAGCGAAATTGCTGTGTATATCTATTGAATAAGATCCTTAGCGAAAAGAATTTGAGATAAATAACGATTTCTTTCGAATAATCGTATGCGGGCAA